GTTCCTGTTTTTTGTACTTTGGTGCGAGGCCCTGGAGAGACTTGTACATGATTAGTGTACTAAGGACATTCTTATATGAAGCTTAAGCGCAAATTCCATTGAGATGTCCATAGATGTCATAATGTTCATAAATGTAATGATCCTAAAGCCTAGCGTACATCGACAGAGAAACTGGGGACAACTAGTTGCAAGGCGGCTTTTGGCAACTGAGAGTAGATGGTGGGAGATGATCAGTTGCCGAAATCGGTCGATGTGAGCGCTCTTACAACTGGAGATGATCAGTCGGTCTCCAGTTCCAGTCAGTTGCCCGTGTTCTACTTTTCGGCAACTAGTTGTCCTCAGTTGCCCCGATGTGCGCGCTCCATGCGCCGCTCCAACAACGTGTGTGTATTGTGTGTATTGCGAGCGCGCAACAGTTTATGTCAGAAAACACACTGTAGTTGAGGCCAGTTGCTGTCGATGTACGCGCTGTTATTCAAGAGACTGGCCTGCGACTCAGAGTTGCCCGTTTTCGCCAGATTGTCGATGTGTGCGGGGCAGCAACTCAGAGGCGACGGATATAATCAGTTGCCAGTCCGATGTACGCTAGGCTTTAGAGCCTCCTGCATCAGTAAGGAAAACAATTAAACATGTTACATGGAAATATAAGGTTGCACAAATGTTCTCTCAGCTTGAAGTGGTCAGAGTGGTATACATCAAACAGCCTCTGCAGTTTCTCACAGAGATGTGACTAAGGCTTTAAGTTTGTTTGAGCTGATCAAATATTTGGTGAATAATGGCAACGTTTTGTGTTTTATTTGGATGAAAACAACACAGCTATACTGTAGGTAGAACCCCTCACACACACAATCATACACAAGTGTACTAGACACCTGGGGCATGGTGGGTCAAGTGTCTTGCCCAAGGACAGACAGCAACACTCAGCAATATGAGCTGGTTTCTCAACTTGAAACTGGATTTGAAACCACTTTTGGGCATTGCAGCTCCATGAATCATTAAAATTTAAATACAATAATCTATGTTGACCATTTTGGTCATGGTCAACACCAATTGATGAATGTGGAAATGATTAATAAGTATCGGACATTGATACATTCTAGACAGTATTATTGACTATTGGTGCAAAACTGTCTTGCATTGAGAGAAATAATGATGAATGAATCAATAAGTTATGGTGAAACCTTTTTTTAAATTCATGTTTGTGCTGAAATTGGTTTAGCCTATTTTTAAAATGTGTTTAAATGTCAGTATTGTGCAACACTGTGTGAGAAAGAGCTATAGGAGTATCCAGTGTTTTCATTGATCCAGAGACAGAGGCCATTACTCCTGCACACAACCAGGAAGGACTACAGCTGTATCATGGACTACAGCTGTATCATGGACTACAGCTGTATCATGGACTACAGCTGTATCATGGACTACAGCTGTATCATGGACTACAGGTGTAGTATGGACTTCTGGGACCAAAAGTGATTTATGGAACCATTGCAGCTGTAGTCATGAAACATTTTGATAGAAGCATTTATAACATATTTTTAGTTTATAATCCGGAGACACTGGTTGTATTGTGAGACATACTGGAATGAGGCAGTGCTGTTATTTTGAGCTTCACCTAAAAAAATATCATGTGTGTGTTTGTGTTTGTGTGTGTTACTTTAGCTATTTACGAAGCATAATGCATGTGAAGCCTTAAATATGAGACCAGATTTGTAGTACATTTGTCAGAGACAGCCTATAACGATGGATTCATTTGCTTCTGTGGTTAAAAAACTCCATGGCCTTCTGTGAAGAGTTGGATGTTTCAAGCATCCACAGCTGGACCACTCCAGACAGGTTTTCCCAGTGGCGTTGGAGGGAAAATAAACTGTACTTTCAAGGAGACATATTATACCATATATTTATATATTTATATCCACAACATTATTTCCTCATCATTAACAGACCTGGAGATGTTTTTTGATCCATCCACTTTCCCCCCCTTGTGGTAGCTTTTTTAGTTTTTTATTTGAGTTAAATGTAAATCAAACATTTATTTTCAAATGTCACAACATAGAATTTTCTTGCAAATCATTAATTTACAATTACTTATTACAATATCTTGCATTATTCAAACTCAAAAAGGAGTGAGAGGATAAAAAATCCTATAATTTCATGAATCTATAAGATGATAGTTACAGTTCATACTACAACATATACTGTATTTCCTACTTAAAATATTATTGTACAATTTGAAAATGCTGTCCCTGACTGCAGGAGAACATGGACCAGTGGACTCACTCCTTCACTGTATCCAACAAATCAGTGAGTGGATGCAAACACTTTTTCAAAAAAAAAAACAAAACACTGAAATTATTGTTTTTGGACCTCAGAAACAAAGAGAGAGCGTCATCTGTCACCTACAGTCTCCAGCCCTAAAACCCTCAAACCCGGTCAGAAATCTAGGGGTAATACTGGACTGCGACTTAAATTTTAATAGCCACATCAAATAATTAACATCAGCAGCTTTTTACCATCTAAAAACATTGCCAGGATCAAAAACATAGTGTCTAAAGCAGACTTGGAGATTCTTATCCATGCATTTGTCTCCAGTAGGTTAGACTACTGCAATGGCCTGCTCACAGGTCTGTCCAAACAGGCTGTAAAACAGCTGCAGTACATTCAAAATGCAGCAGCTCGAGTCCTGACTAGAACCAGGAAGTATGACCACATTAGTCCAGTTCTCAGGTCTCTGCACTGGCTTCCTGTGGCTCAGAGAATAGACTTTAAAACAGCTCTGCTTGTGTACAAGTCTCTCTATGGCCTCGCACCAAAATATATTAGTGACTTGTTAGTCCCATATGAACCAGCCCGGACTCTGAGGAGCACAGGGACTGGACTCCTGTTAGTGCCCAGAGTCAGAACTAAACATGGGGAGGCTGCTTTTCAGATTCATGCTGCTAGATTCTGGAACCGTCTTCCTGAAAATGTGAGACAGACAGTTTTCAAATCTAGGCTGGAAACAGATCTGTTTAGCTGCGCATATAACTGAATGATTGTATCTTTTATTGTATCTTTATTCTTTTTAATCCACTTTGCCTATTTTTTTTTTTTTAATCCCATGTGTGATTTTGATGTTTTAAGGTTTTTAACTACTTGATGGTTTTATTTTTTATGTTTTTAGTATATATTATAAATTCTATTGTTTGATGATTTATGCATGCATTGATTGATTAAAAATAAATAGTCTCATTTTGTTTTTTTAATAACAATGCATTATATATAAATAATCCAAATAGTCCCTAAAAACACTTGTTCCCACTGAATTGGACTCATATTCTTCTAATTGAAAATGTAACCAAAGCATTGTCACAAAGATAACAAGATCCTCAGACTGTTCACAACAAGTACATGATTAACTAGTACTTTTGTTTTATTCACACTTTAACAACACATTAGCACCAGGTTAGCAGCTCGTGGCCCCTGTTGATGCTCCACCAAAGGCGCGAGAGCAGAAAATATGCCACAGGAAAACAGCAGATGCTTCAGAAGCTGGCAGTAAGCACTTTTACCCCCATCACTGTAAGCCTCCTCCTGCAGATGTGTGTGTGTGTGTGCATGTGTGTGTATGTATGCATGTGTGTACGTGTGTATGTGCTATTGTGACAGATCTGCTTTGAACATCACATCCAGAAAGAGAAATGGCACAAAGGGAAAGATGAAAATAACCCGAAGCTCCAAGCATGTAACAGCAGCAGAGGCCTGGAGACAGAATTGAGTCTGAGAGGACGGCATTGGTAACGTCCAAACGCCTGACTCACTCCCATGATGTCAAATCACATGAAAGTACGACTCATATCCACTGGCGACGCATCAGGGCTCCGGAGAATGACAAAACATAAATTCAAAATGACATAACAATTTAGATAATGCGTAAATACAGAAATTGTGTTGTGTGGTGTTCATTACCCCTTTTTATTTTACTTTACTGTCATTTTTCCCCTTTTAGTCCTATAGGAAGTGTCAGTGTGAAAATCCTGTACAGTAGTATTTTGTGTCACAATTATCATTTGGAATGTAGTTTTTTGGGGGGGAGTGAGTCACCTGTGTGTGTGTGTGTTTGTGTGTGTGGGTGTGTTTGTTTGTGTGTGTGTGTGATTGAATATGTTGAGCCTTTGTTCTATGATTTTGTGTTTGTTTAATGTAATAATTTAGTTTTGTATATATTTGACTGTCGCTGCTGTATTGTTATTTTTGTATTTGATTTTGAGGACCCCCTGGAGACAAGATAATTCCTCTCAAGGGGCTATTCCTCTTAATAAACATTGATAAAAAGAGTGAAGATAAAATTGCTCAGTTGTACGCACTGTTTTAACCTGGATTTGATCCCTGTCAGAGTAGAAACCTGTCTCACATTTTAGCTGCCTCTCCATCTTTAGTTCTGACTCTGGGCACCAGCAGGAGGCCAGACCCTGTGCTCCTCAGAGTCCAAGTTGATTCATTTGTCACTAAAATGTGCGGGATGTATTTGTACAACTATAACAGATCCACCTAAACTGTGAAGAGGTATTGTCCCCTTTAACCCTGAAAGAGGACACATGAATAATGTTGATATTGTTGTAAATGTTACATGAAGGTCATAATACTGTACTTCATATTGCTGTGGCAAAATCGTCAGAAAGCCTGAGAGCCGTGAAAACACTCCTGTGTTTGAGAGTTGACTTAAATAAGAAAAACAATCAATTTCATCTTTAAAGTAAACTACACTAACCAAGTAACTTAGTGCAGTGTACCTTTAGTGTACCATTTCTATTCTATTGTCTGTAAATGGTATAAATAATTTAAGTCTTTGTGAAGTGTTACTTCCGACGTGGATTTTTTTTTTTTCGATTTGATTTGGATTCATCTTGCAGCCCTGGTATGAACACGGCTGGTCTGGTGTGAATATTAGCTGTAGTAGTGTACTCGTGGGGTCTTCCAGAGGGTCTTGCGGCTGTACTGATGTTGCCTGTGTTGTTTTTCAGGGGGTCTCGGAGCCGACACAGAGGAGCGGTTAGTGGAGCACCTCCTAAACCCTGCCCACTACAACAAACTGATCCGTCCAGCGACTAACGGCTCCGAGCTGGTGACCGTGCAGCTCATGGTGTCTCTGGCTCAGCTCATCAGTGTGGTAAGACCCAAGACAAACTAGTTCAGTTCACACAAAAACTTGTGAAATTTTTATTTTTATTTTATGATAGCCCAAAAATATAACAAATGATATGTGTAGAATATAAGAATAAGGTAAGATAACCTTTATTTGTCCCACGGTGGGGAAATGTTGGCGTTGCATCTTGTCTTACAGTAGTATTACTGTTGTGTTGCCGCACACAGGGCACACACACAAAACAAGACCAGATAAATACAGAACATATCTGTAAAAGGGCTTTGTTGGTAGAGCATTGGCCTTTGGGTCTGAAGGTTGTGGTTTCGAGCCCACCACGAGACCTACTTCACAACTCCCACTGATGACTACTGTCGTTGTGTCCTTGGGCAAGACACTTAACACCACTTTTCCTGAATCTCCCGCTGGAAGATCTCAGCTCTTGTGGACTCACCACCTGCAGGAGGATCAGTGAGGGGCTGGTGCTCTGTGTACTGGGTGCAGCTCTGACTTCCATCCCTCCGACCCAGAAATGGATTAAGGGGAAGAAAATGGATGGATGGATCTGTAAATGCTGCTTTAGCTGTGAAATCTTCAATAAACTTTAATAAATAAAATATATACACTTTAGGAGTACAATATGATACTTAAAGGTCCAAGGTCACGAAATAATGCCAAAGCAGCAGAGTACAGTATCTTCAGACTAATATTCACAATGATGCCGCAGCAGAGTTGAGATCTTAGAACTATACATAATAGTGTTAACTCTTCCTCTTCCTCTGCCACATCATGCTCATGCAGAGGATTCTGGGTGTATAGTCTTTGTAACCTTCTCCTGTCCATGACAGACATCACGGAGTCATACGTTTTAATTTAAATCAAATTCTGCTCTTCAAGGACCACGACACACTGGCCTCAGCATAATAGTTGCTTATTATCATGTTTTTGTTTTCCACTGATCATGGCTGTTTTATTGATTTCATTGTGGCATCATTTGTGTATAGCGCCTTTCATGATTCATGAGTCATTCAGCTTTTGTAGTCACAGATGCCTTGGGGCAGACTGGTAGAAGAGAGGCGGCCCACCAGCTCAGACCACCAATCATTTACACACGCACTATGGCAATAATGTCCTGTCAAGTATTTTAGAGCCAGGACAAAGTGGTTCTAGTGGTCTGGGTTTTAGAGATTTTCCTTGCCGATGCAGTGAGAGTCTGTAACACAAGGGCAGTGGCGATGACCCAGCACACTCAACATTCAACAACATTTATGGACATTGGTCATCTGCCCGTATGGACCAATGGCTCTATGTGTTTTTTTATCATTGCATTTCTTGTATTTGATTCTCTGTGTTGGCGAATTCAACAATTTTGTGATTTATACATTCCCCCATCTAACCAGATCTGGCATAGACAAGCAGTCATGGCTATATGGAACATAGCATCATACACCTTCATATATCCTTTTATCTAAATTTGTATTTTAGTTTTAGTGATCCGCAATATAGAAGCAAACATGATGAATCAGTATATCGAAGCACAGTGATGCCGTGGGAGAAAACTAAACTGCATTTCTGTGACACTGCAGAGAGACATCCTAACTTACCTCCCTTAGCGGAGATACGCAAACTGTATATTTTTACCCTTAGGGACTTTGGTTTCACATTATTGATTCGCATGTTGTTTCTAAGCCAAAAAAATTTCTCTTGCAGCACGAGCGAGAGCAGGTGATGACCACCAATGTCTGGCTCACGCAGGTAAGAAGCTTTTCACGCTCCACCGCATCAAACATCCTCCCCCTCTGAGTAAATCTGCACTCCTCAAAAAGGCGATGCGTCTTTTATTTGGCTCAGTCTAATCCTGCTCCTCTTCAGGGAGCGGTGCACAGAAGACAACTCCTGTGAAAGAAATGTCAGTACAATGCAGGCACTTCAGGACCAGAGACAGTGCCACAGAGGGGATCCAGAACTTGTCTTTGCTCTTTTATCGGTGACTGTGCGGGAGCAGGCTGGTTTAATACAGCACTGGAAATGTTCAAATGCTGTAAACCTCATATTCTTAGTTTAATAAAACCAACACAGACTTCTTAACAAAGCACATTTATATGGTAAAAGATAAAATATGAGAAAAACTCAAGTTGTCTTAAAGTATAATAGCAGTGACATTGTCCTCACTCCAGTCTAGAGCTGTGTATCTCTCAGAGTCTGCCGAGACCATATGTCTTATATGTATCTATAGCCGTCCATCTGTGGGAGCGGATCCCTGCAGCAGTGTGGGCCTCCCCGAGGTTTCTCACTTCTGTGTATTTTTTTTGTTGAGTTTTTCCTTGCCGATGCAGGAGGCTCGAAGGACTGTGGTAAAGATCCAGGACATGACATTCAACAACATTTATGAACATCTATAACATTTATGGACATTATGGACATTGGTCATCTGCCCCAGATGGACCAGTGTTTTTATCATTGCATTTCATGTGTTTGATTCTCTGATCTGTGTTGGTGGATCAACAGTTATAAGATAACTTCTATTATGATTTAGGGCTATACAAAAATTAATTTAATTCAATTGAAAGTGAATTTAGATATGGGGGTAGTTCATAATTTTATACAGTATATTTCTAAACAATCCCATACAATAAGTTTATTGTTAATAAAGCAGAATATACATATTTTTAAATATATACTGTATATGTGAACTCCAAAGAATAATATTACTAAAACATTAATAAAACATCAACATTTTCATTATTTTTAGCCACTCCCTACTTCTATCACGTTTAACAAAATGGGCGTTAGATATGGTGCAAAGCGTAGCGAGAGCTGAGTTAGTGCGGAGTTAGAGCGGGAGCCAAACAAGCAGAGTTTGTTACACTAAAGCGTGAATTCATAGAAAACTTTAGTCTGCAGTGCCGCGGGCGCCCCTTGTGTCCATGGGTGGGACGGCTATAAGCTAGTAACACGCTATCCAGATATTGTTATAGATCCATGGACATTTCACAATAGGGATTGGTTGAGGGACCAAATGGCAGTGGCAAAGAAGTTGCTTTTTGAGGTTAAATGATTTCCACTAGAAGGACCTTGAGCGCCTCCTGGAGGGCAGGAGTGGAAAACAGATGATGGGCTGACGCTTTGTTTAGGATACGTTGGAGTTTTTTGCAAGAGTGAGAATCACTCAGTGAGAAGTCACCACACCAGACTATTATCGACGACCCTCAACTTTTTAAGTAGAATAGTCTTTTGTTTTTTGTAAATCTCTGATGTGTGTTGTTTCCATTTCAGTGAGTTGTTGATGTGTCTTCTGAGGAATTACTATGAGTCTGTGAAGGATATGGGTTTGTTGCTGATGGATAGTTGAGATTTTTATGAGGGTGAGTAACAATAAGTTCAGTTGTTTTTTGAGCTGTAAGTTGTTGATTGTTTAGTTAGACGTGCAAACTATTTCAGTATCTCTATATATTGTTGGATGTAATAACATGACTTTCTGTCTGATTGTACATGTTTGACACATGGTAATCTCACTGCAAAAAGTGATGAAAAATAAGTAAAAAATGTGAGCACATTTTGACTGCTTTAAAACAAGATTTGGGACAAGCTAAATTATCTTGTTTTAAAAAGATACAAGAAATGTCCCGATGAAATGAGAAAATAAACAGTTCTTGAAATAAGACTAAATGGCTTTGTCCCATTGGAAAATCATGTCAGAATGTACTCAAATTAAGATAAAAACCACTTGATGCAAGCAATTACTACCTCATATATCATCATTTTTGCAGTACTGTAATACCATTATAATTTTCCACTCCTGTGCTCACCTGGTTGTGATCAGTGATGTGGCCCTGACCAAGTCCTGACCCTGACCCTCTTCCACATGACCGCTGCTGTAAGCACACAGCTGAGGCTGCAAACCAGCCTCTGTGGAAACCAAATCTAATCACATTTAATGTATTTTTTAAACATGGATTGAGGCTGAACGATTTTGAATAATTGCAAATTTTCCAGATTAAGGATTTGAACAGCTGAAAAATAACTTCTGAAATGATCCAAGACTCATACTGTAAGCATTCAGGACATGTTTGTTGCTGTCTAAACTGCAGGGTTGCAGATTATGACAAGATATTAAGTTGTTGGTGGAGAATTTTAATATTGGCTGTCTTTGTGATATCCAAATTGTGAGTCAAATGGATGTTTTTATGTGCACGGCTCACAAAAAAAGGATATTTGGCTTCTGGGTGAAGTACAGTACTTGCTGGACCAAAAGCCGCTACTTTTTCCAAGCTGTTTGAACTCTGCAGCCTATATAGTGATTTATGTATTTTAGTTTTTGTTTGAGCTCTGCCGGTGCACAGGAAGGGATTTGGACACTGCTCTATCAGCTGTTGATCTCCAGAGCTGATGATGTAGCACACATTCCTGCTTCACAGTGTGTTTATGTGAACAGCAGAGAGGTGGCACAAGGAAGTGTTGTTGAATATGTGATTAGGGCTATTGTCAGAGCAGAGGCCAAGGACTTATTATTTTGATTCCATCAAGTTTTAGTAACTATAGGATCAGGTTTATTGCCAAATTACTGGGTTTACCAGAGTGCTTTGATCATCACGAGTCACTAAATACACTTTTCTTTCTAAATGTTCTTGGTGCAGTTTCTATACAATAAAAAATATCAAGAATTTATTGTAGAAGGTGTTGAGTGTAGCCTGGTTTTACCATGCCATCGTACTAATTCAATTTCGTACTAAGGTCTGGATTTTCTCAATTGAGCTCTGTTAACAGGTGGAAGGGGTTAACTCCTTTTGCAGATTGAAACGATTGGATCTGAGTTAGCTGTGACATGCACCTGAGGGAGTGAGGCATTTAGCACTTAGCCTCGCCATCTACTTTGCCACTAACAAAGTCTGTGGGGAGTTTGGGCTAGAATGGATTACTTTACTATTGCATTCTCCCCACCCCCCGATACAACCGAGGTATCCGTAACGGCTAAGATCAGACGTACATGTTGGGAAATGATAATTGACCGGAGTTTACTAATGACTCATGATGTTATTATGCATTTTGACATCATGAGATAAAGAAAACCACTGCTTCTATTCTAATTCAAATTGAATCAAGAAATGTTTTTAGAATTTTGCCATTGACAAAAAGTTTGTAAACTGTACACGGTTACCTTAATATGAAATTCATACTGTATACCAACATCTAATTCCTAACACAGTTTGACACATAGTTTGATTTAATTACAGTTATCACATGCATGTATTTTGGGCTTCTGTCAAATTATTCATATGAATAATAATGCATCAGTTTAATATAACGCTTTTTTGTCATTATTAATGCAGCCACAACTGTCCTGGGGCAGATTGACAGAAGCAAGGCAATCAATCTACCAACTACCAACCATTCCCACACACACATCAGACTCATTCTAGACGATGTGGGTGAAGTGTTTTGCCCAAGGACCCAACAAGCAGTCAGAAGCTAAGCAGGGCAGGACGAGATCAGGCTTTCACATGCAGGTTTCTTTTTGCAGGGCATTTTTTTAGTTGACCATTCAATTCTTTATGGAATACAGCCCTAGTGTGTGGATGGTGAACTGAATCAGAGATGCAGTGGGTATAAATGGTGGAGGAAGTTTAAGTGCAGTTTTAGACCATGGCTGTATTTATGACGAGGTTGTTTGTAGTTGATGTATATTATTGAGCGTTCACACACATTTACACCTGAGCATGGGTGAATTTATGACATGTAAACCCGCCTGCTGCTCTAGATATATGGATGTGTGCTTGAAGGGGGAGCCAAGGACACTAACCATAATAGGCCCAATGCATCATGGTTATGACACTGAAGCCATAGCATAAAGATAACGCCCATAGTGTGAGGACTGCTGCTGCTGCTGCTGAGAGGAATAAGCAGAGAGAGTGGCTGTGCTTTGTGTTGTGGCAGAGTGATCCCATTTCTTGTCAAGAGTAGAAATAAACATTTGAACCCCAAAGTAAAACCATCAAACATGCATAAAGGAGGAATATGCTGAGCCATACTGCGGACCACTCCAAACAAAACAACATTTGAACAAAAAGCGGAACCTCCTCCATGAAGATTGTGTTATTCTGCTTTAATAACATGTAGTAGAATAATAATCTAAAGATAATAATTGAATGCATGACTACAAATATATATCCTATTCCAAATAAGCAAAAACATAGTCCGGTTTAAAATTCAAGGGGTGAAGATGAAATGAAAAGTAATTGACATACATCAGTGAGATTGTATCAATGGAAATCTTTAAAGCAAATATATTAGGGTTAAGTTAGTGCAAGAAATTGTCTTTAACATCAGGATCAGTCAGGAAATGAATGTGATGTTCCCACATAGCAGTGTGTGTGTGTGTGTGTGTGTGTGTTTTTAGAGGACAGATTTAGCACCATGATACTTTCCATCTGTAGTCCTTGACAATACAATCATTTAACAAACATATCAAAATACAGTTAAATAATACAAAAGTGCAAGTGTGTGTGTGTGTGTGTGTGTGTGTGTGTGTGTGACGTCAGAGTAAAACCCTGCTGACCTCACAGACTTCATCACTGTGATCGTGTGTATATTTAGAAGCACATGGGGTCAGGAAGCAGGTGAGGACTCGTTAAGCTAAAATATTGTACTTCCACTTTCTGAAATTACCAAAATGTTTTGTAACTTTTTCACAATATTATTATTATTTTAGATGTGATTGGTTTCGGTCTGGTTTTGCACAAGTCCACTCCGCATCCCCCAAAAGGATTGTATCTATATTACCTAACATGATGAAATGCTTACTTAGCCTCTGTCTGATCTCTCTGCTCTCAGGAGTGGCAGGACTATCGCCTGACCTGGGTCCCAGAGGAGTTTGATGGGATGCTGAAGGTCAGACTGCCGTCCAAACATATCTGGCTCCCGGACGTGGTTCTGTATAACAAGTGAGTCACACAAACATCACTCACCACCGCATCCACGTCTAGACACACAACCAGAGCCCTCTTTACAAGACGAGAACAAGCATCGAAACATGAATTCACATTATAAACCCAACTATTAAATCTTTATTCAAACATTACACAACTGGGAAAAAAAATGATGTAAAAAGAAAATGTCTCACCACCCATAGCTTGGAACTCATTTGTGAACATCCACAGACTTTCGTTGCCTGTTATGGCTATAATTTCAATCATTTTGATAAACAATAAATTAAAAGAGTAATCACTCAATCTATTCATTATTTCATTAAAACAGAAATATGTTTTTAATTTTAAATTTGACCCATATAAAGCTGGAGTGAAGCAGGAAGCTCTTGCGTTTTAGCTCCTTTGTGGCGAGGGGCCTTTTTCAGGGGAGTTTGCATGTTCTCAGTGTGTGCGTAAGTTTCCTCCGGTGGCTCCGGTTTCTCCTACTGCAGAGATTGGCAGCTCGAAACCAGTGGGGGAGGGTCCCAGCTCAAACGTGGCCAAAATTACGTGCGCTGATCATGCTTGCAATACCACCCCGGGCCGTTGGGGGTGGACCCAGAAGAAGAATTAGCCAATGCTAACATATAGCGTTGGCAGACCTCTCAAAAACGTCTTTACAGGATGGTCCAAAAGTTGGCTCTTGGCCCAAAGCTCCGTTCCACATGTGTGTCAATGCTGAGGGGGGTGAATTTTTTTGGTCCACTCTAGTTTACTTGCTGTGAATTTTTGAAGTCTGTCGTTCAAATGAATGGAGCTGCGCCGGCTGACGCATGCGCAGATGCGTTTTTTCACAATTTTCTTGTGGGCGGGACCACTCACGGCCATCTTGGATTGCTCCATGAAAGCACTTTTCATGGCCAACTCCTATGAACGGCGGAGATAGGCGTGACTCTGTCCGTTAATATATACAATCTATGCTCAAAACAGATCCACTGTTGAATTCTTTATTATGTAATCATTATGTAATTACATATGTCACAATAATTACAGATAAAGAACTTGAGATGCGTCATTAGAAGTACAGAAAGGTGCAGTGCTCAAAGGCACCTCAGTAGGCAGCATTTGAATAATAATAATACTGTTTAATCATCTGTTTAATTCTGCGCTTTGTTGGACACTCAAAGACATTTCACATGTCATTACTCATTCACTCCATAGATGCTGGTGATAAATTCCTACTTTAGTCACAGCTGCCCTGGGGCACACTGACAGAAGCGAGGCTACCAGTGTGTTTCCCTTCTCGGCAATGTGGGTGAAGTGTCTTGCCTAAGGACACATTGACAGTTTGGCACTTTACCGCCGCCCCACTGTGGCACCTGGTGTTCCCAGAGGTCTTCCATCACAGTACTAACCAGGCCCTACCCTACTTAACTTCAGGGGACTGACGGGATCTTGATTTCACATGCAGGTGGTGCCTTTCTCACTGGCCTAAGCTAGCAATACCCTATCCAGATATGATGGATAGGGTATTGGTTCTACGTTGGCCTCTGACAATGGCTTTACTTATGTTAAAGAGCCCTAAATAGCAGCACTTTCCCCATGTTTGAGCATGATGTCACTCGTGATAGTTAAAGTGATAATAATAAACAAAGGCACCCGATGCCTCAGAGAAAGTGGCTCCTCCGGAAGGGATGTAGAAAGTTCTATTGTGCTCTTCTCAACATGTAAAGATTTTAGAGCAACCTAATAACATCATTATTCAAAATTTACAAACTCAAATGCATAAATTCTGATCTGCTTTTGACTTGAAATAACATAAAAAGATGTTTCCTGATATGACAGAGTGGAAAGTATACGTCAGTGTGTGTGTGTGTGTGTGTGTGTGTGTGTGTGTGTGTGTGTGAATGATATGTCTGGCCTTCTCCCCTTTCTCTTTCTGCTCTGCGCACACTTCTGACCCAGGATTAAATGATCACTGTCACTGTGTCCGATAGATCCACTGCTGTCAAAGCCCAAACTGATACTATTATACATGTTTAGTGTTAAGCTAAAAGTTCAATTATTGTTCATGCAATAGAATTATTCTAGATATACACAATCTACTGAAACCTGCAGATGAAACAGATAAACAAGTGCGTAAGTTTTATTCCCACTGATCCCACTGTGGGGTCAGTAAAAGATGTCATTTTAAATTCCTCTTTTATATCCAAGTTTGACTATATTTACAGTATATATTCATAATTGTGACTACATCTCAAATGCTAAATTGTTAAAAGTTATAAAATATCTCTCTGAAAACGGCAAATGTTGATTTATTTAAGGCAAGGCGAGTTTATTGGTATAGCACAGTTCATACTCAATGCAACTCAATGTGCTCAACAAAACAAGATAGATAATAAATAATCACAGTGCATTAAAAGAGTGATGACACAATCCCTCAGTTGTACGCACAGCTGTTTTTAACCTGGATATGAACATTGTCAGAGAAGAGGCCTGTCTCAACATTTCAAGAAGAATGTTTTAGATTTTAGCTGCATGAGTCTGAAAAGCTGCCTCTTCTTATTTAGTTCAAGACACCAGCAGGAGTCCAGTCCCTGTGCTCCTCAGAGTCCGACTTGGTTCATATAGCACCACACATCACATGTCACTTTGGTTTGAGGTCATGGAGAGACTTGTACAGATTTAAAGTCTATTCTCTGAGCCACAGGAAGCCAGCGCAGAGAACTGGACTAATGTGATCGTACTTCCTGGTTCTAGTCAGGACTCAAGCTGCAGCGTTTGGAATATACTCCAGCTCCATGTTGTTTGGAGAGACAAGAGAGCATGGATTACAATTCTGCTTTAGACACTATTTTTTCTTGAAAGTCTGAGCCCATTATTACTCCTAGATATACAAGATGCAAGATACAAGAAATGATTTGCCATTTGTAGTAAAACCACATTGGAAAAACTGTGCAAGACTACCCCAGTGTGTACCAGACAGAGAAGACGGCACACACCAGAGCTCTTGCCAACAGAGATATGATTTATGTTATACAGATGGTTCTATCCCCTATCTTCCCTAGGTACTTATTGTTCACTTGTCTGCCATAGTCCTGTACCATCCTGCTCACATATGGTTTTAGTATAAAAAGAAGGAAATGGTGTGACACATTAAGTGCAGATCAGTGTCTGTGGACAGCATGTTTCGGCCACAGACATATGTTCTTAGGGGAGCAGTGTCTACTCTTTTACAGCAGCATGTTGTGCGTATGTTTGTGTGTCCTAGTGCCCTGTTACGTAATAAGATGCGTCATGCTCCACATTTATTAAACAGACAGTAAAGGCACTGGGTGTGAATTACATTGAGTTTATTACTGAAGGCTCACGGACTTATTAATGTTTGACAATACACTGGTTTCTCAATGGTTTCTTCAAATGTTTTCATAATGAATGCATTTAAAACAGTCCCGCCCCTTTCCATAAATATCACCAGTAAAATGTTCTATAGGAGAATAATTAGACCAATGGTGAGGGGCCTCAGCTGTCTATCAAGGATTTGAATTCATTACATCCAATCAGGAACCTATGGGGGCGGTCTAACTGGGGTTTGACCCGCATTGATGTTATGCATTGATGCTGGCAAAGAGTCCTTGGAATGAACTAAATGAAGAGATTTGATATAAATCCACTTATGAAATGTATAAAACAAGTTCCAAAGTGCTGCATAGAGACAAAAGTAACACATAAAAAAAAAATCTATATAAAAGGTACAAAAAAATTGTGTGGTGCTCAAAGCCATAGAATAAAAGTGGCTCTTAAAAGGAGACTTCAAACACTCCACAGAAGGTGCCGTTCCAACATGGGGGATGAAATCTCAATTCCCTCGGGGTTGAGACACTTGAGAAATCGATGAACCCAGAATAATCGGAAAGAGCGAGTCTCGCCTTGATCTAAAACCTCTTTATATTTTCTTCTCTCGCAGTGCTGACGGAGTGTACGAAGTCTCCTTCTACTCCAACGCTGTGGTCTCCTACGACGGCAGCATCTTCTGGTTGCCCCCGGCGATCTACAAGTCAGCGTGCAAGATCGAGGTCAAGCACTTCCCGTTTGACCAGCAGAACTGCACGCTCCGGTTCCGCTCCTGGACGTACGACCGCACCGAGATCGACCTGGTGCTGCGGGCCGACGTCGCCAGCATGGACGACTTCACTCCCAGCGGAGAGTGGGACATCATCGCTCTGCCGGGGCGAAGGAACGAAAACCCGGCCGACCCCACCTACGTAGACATCACATACGACTTTGTCATCAGACGGAAACCTCTTTTTTACACCATCAACTTGATTATCCCGTGCGTGCTCATCACTTCGCTCGCTATTCTGGTCTTCTACTTGCCGTCGGATTGCGGTGAAAAAATGACTTTGTGTATCTCTGTGCTGCTTGCCCTGACTGTGTTCTTGTTGCTGATCTCCAAAATAGTCCCTCCCACCTCTCTGGACGTCCCACTGGTTGGGAAATATCTAATGTTCACGATGGTTCTAGTCACGTTCTCCATCGTCACGAGCGTGTGCGTGCTAAACGTGCACCACCGCTCGCCCACCACGCACACCATGCCGCCCTGGGTCAAGCTGATCTTCCTAAACAAGCTCCCAGCCCTGCTCTTCATGCGCCAGCCTCGAAACAGCTGCGAACGCCAGCGATTGCGCCAAAGACGAAGAGCCCAGGAGCAGAAGGAGGGCGGGCGAGGGGGTGAGGTGGGCGGCTTGATGGTTGGGCTAGGACTGGGGAACGCTGGGGGCAACGGGAGCTCCGCGTCCGCCGGAGTGTTCGGCAAGGAGGACAGTGACCCGTGCACGTGCTATGTGAACCGGGCCACGGTCAAACAGTTCGGAGGCGAGCTGGGCGGGGCGGGGGGGTCCATGGATGGTCTGAACAGAGTGCGAGAGGCGAGAGAGGCGGCGCGGGGCAAGCAGGCGCCAGGGGGACCCGCGCTCACCCAGGCCTTGCTGGCTCAGGCCTGTCCCGGCTTCGAGGAGGCGGTGGAGGGCGTCCGTTTCATCGCCAACCACATGAGGAGTGAGGACGACGACCAGAGTGTGAGTTTGGTGTTTGACTGTAAAGGACTAGATTGATAATTAGGTTCTTCTGGAAGTGATGATCATGGCACATTAAGCTCGTCGTCTTATTCTTCACACACTGTTGAATAGAAAAGCAGGCTGCTGTTGTTGGGCTTTAGGGGTTGAAGCCTCACACGAAGGAGCAATATTGTCAGAAATAAAACTCTCTCTATCTGAGAAGTGAAGGGATTGGAAATAGCTAAACTATTACTAATTAGTGTTCTTTATTTATTATTTCCTTTTACACACACCATGCCGCCCTGTGCTTTCAATGCGCCCACCTCAAAACAGTTTTCTGTGAAGTTTAGAGCAATATTTTAGTAAATGTGTCTTTACATTTAATTCCAGTACTGCATTGGCTCACCAATACGCAGAATTAACATAATCCTTAGAACAGGCCTACTCTATTTAAAAGTAGGAGATAGTGAGTGAGAGAAACTGGCTTTTACAACCACTGATGACATGTGAATCACAACATCTGAAATATTCAACACATAAAATACTGGTTATTTCTAGATCATTTGAGGAGTTACTGGAAAAAGGAAAGAGAATGGAAGCTCCTGTGCTTTAGTTTCAGAACCCCGGAGTCAGATCAAGCCACATTTTAGTTCCACTTAAATGGGACTATACTACGATATGTACAGCAATACATTTATTTGCTGCAATAATGTATGGTCCGTCAAAATGTTGTCAGGATTAGTCTCATTGGTCTTTCCTATTCAACATTTATATGAGCACTTGGACTTTATTTACTCCCCGTTTTCCTCCCAGTGTAGTCTGCTCTGTGTGAGACCTCATCAGCGCTGTGTGGCCGCGCTGGTCTCTCCTCACATTAAAGCCGTCACCTCCATTAACCCTCCACAAATTCATTTATTTTCCTTTTTTCCCCTTCCACAGGTGAGCGAAGACTGGAAGTACGTGGCCATGGTGATCGACCGCCTCTTCCTCTGGATCTTCGTATTCGTGTGCGTCTCCGGGACACTGGGAATGTTCATGCAGCCGCTGTTCCAGAATTACACAGCCAAGACCATCACCAGCACGCCGGGCTGACCGCACGCCGACTCCCCCAACAAGCCAGCAGGCACCCCTTACCCCCGCCCTGCCCCTTGGAACCCATCAGCCCGGGACAACACAGAGCTGGTGGCAAAGAGGAGGCTGGGGCGGGAATTTACGTGTGTGTCTTGAACCGAGGACAGAACATGGAAACAGAAGATCACGTCCTTCATACCTTTATAGCAACGTTTTTTGCAAAGGAAACGCTTATATCTCGTTTGAAGACAAAGCGGAAGTCATGTACTATTCTTTACGTGCAGTTTTTGTTCGGCTGCTTTGATGGACGGTCCTTTCCCTTTCCTCTTTCTACACTTCCCTCCTCAGGGCGAAAGGATCAAGGAATCCGTGTTTTATTCCTTATCAAAATGCCAGCCAACTCGATCTGCCTAACACTGACTGCTGTCACGCATTTGTTTAATCTACGAAATCAAACGATAAGAAAGGGAATGGAGGTTCAATCCTATCTTCAAATACATTTTACTTTTTATTCCACCTCAGATATTTTATCATAGCATAGTCACACACAGAACTATGATTACAGCTCTCATGCAAGTATTTTTTTAACGAAACGACAGGCGGGCTAGGATCTGACTGAATGCGATATTGCTCAGGCACACACGATGTGGTCGAGTAGCAGGTGATGAAAATAAATATATAAAGTTATATTATGCAAATGCAAGAATGAAGCAGGTTCTGTTAATAGCTGAAAGGGTAGATAATGCATGGGTAGCTTCTTCGTTAGACAGTTTCGCACAATATGTAGAGCAGGACCGCAGAGCACAGCTGTGATGAGTGGTGCTTAGAGGCATCATGGCTGACAGATCCGCTTACAGTGTGACAGACAGTGGAAAGTTGGGCAAATATCTGGAGAATTGCCAGTTTGCGATCTAAAGATTCACTTTGTAACTTTTCTGATTGAGGGATTTGGCCACACAATTGTCGCTAATGGTTTTCTTGCACAGTCAGCATTCAAGAATCAGATTCATTTATTTGCCATTTTCAGTAAAACCACATTGGAATACCTTTGCAAAAGTCCCCAGTTTGCACAAGACAAGAACAAAAATAAAACAAGGTTAAAAATACAGAAATAAAACAACCAAACCTCAAACTCTGTATGGGACTCACCCGAATCTTCGTCCCAGGATGAGGAACCCAAGTATCCACTTTAATTTGCAATTTTTTTATTCAAATTTGCATTTAGAAGAGGAGATATGGTTAAGATTAGGGTTATAAACCGTTAATTTAGTTATAGGGTTAGCGATAAGGCAAGGATTATCTTAAAGCTGGGGTATCTAAAATGTTTTGATAATATTTTGTTTAACCCCAACAGAAAGTCTTGTAAAAGTAACCATTTGTAAATCAGGCTAAATGTTGATATTATGTGGCCTCTATTCCCAGAAGGCCTTTTTAGGAGCAGTAGTGTACATATTATAACAAGATATAAAATCGTTATAGTTGACGCAAAAAAAACCCTTGCTATACAAAACACATTGACAAGCCTATTCCCATTCAAAGTATATCATATTTACTATATACTGTATCAGTCACTATGGCAACAGTCCCCATTTGCCATCATTCTGAAAGCCCTCCATCGGAAAGGTTATGTAGTGCGCCTTTACGTGTGTATTCTGTGTCACTTTTTCTACTGTGCGTCACTAACGTTCACTCCCCCGCCTTTGTCCATGTACTTTCGTTTTTCATTCTGATTTGTTCATCGACGTCTTGCCAAGTGCGACAATGTGAGCCTATACGTTTGTGGCCTATGCCCTCATTACGCATGACGCATCCAAGCTCCAGCGAATGTATGCGTCAGCCTCGTTTTTAACCTCTCTCGATCACTCTCGGGTCTTCCATGGGCAAACACGCAACATTTTGTCCACTTATTATGATCATAAACTTGCCCCTTCCCCAATGGCTGGTGATTGATGTGTCCTTTTTTTGCCATATTTTACTGAGAACGTATTGACAGCTCACACAAATAAGGCAATAACAAAACCAAAACTTGCAGATGCATTAAAAAAAACTATGGGGGACGCCGCAAGAGCACAAAACGCAGACAACACTTGACACTGGAGAATTTGGGAAATACAGTAAATGGCGGTCGGGAGAAGCCGCTGTGATGAAGCCGCTGTGTCGCTGTTGTCGGACTAGGAGCTGTCTGAGGAGTGGGAGTACCCCCCCTCCCCCCCAAAAAATTGCCCTGAACCAGTGTGAAAAGCTGTACAAAAGACGATATTTGACACTGCACATGGACATAAGGGACTACTTTCTCTCTTTTCCACTCGCTGTCCTTCTCTTGTTCCCACGCGCATTGACCCCCCTCCACCCTGTCCCCTTTTTTCACCTCAGATCCGCTCCTGTGCACACCGCAATCAGTCAAATAAAGGTTGTAGGTACAGACGACGCAAACTGTGTGTTGGTGGCGCGTGTTTTCATACTATAGCAGGGCCTGGTGACAGATACATTTCCTGCCATTCTAATAGGAATTTCCTCTTGTGTACTTAAGGTATCAAGAACATTTTTTGAGACGTATATTGTTTTTTTCCAAGGTCAACGTAACCCAATGCCATTGTGTTTGAATGGGAATTTCACAACAGCATTTTAAAAGGTTTTTGGTTTTTTTCAAGTGAATTATAGTTACTCGGCAGCTTCCTGGTTGGTCAAAATTAATTAAAATCCTTAAGGCCCCTTGTTATTGGTTCAACTATTCGCCTCCAACAAATATTATTGGTTGTTAGGCCAAGGAGAGAGAGTATTTCAAATATAGTATTGTTAGCGTAAACTTAGTGTCTATAACATTACCATACAGTGCACTTTATTTTAAACATGAAATACTTTGTAAGTTGCTGCGGTCCAAACAAGGCCTTGTGCTGCCCCCTGGTGGTTGATAGCAGTTCAACACCTGCAAAAGAAGGACTGAGAGACTTGTGACTAGAGTAATAGATCACATTTATTCGTTCCAGGGAGTAGTACTGCATTTGAAAGTGTTATAAAAGACACAAAACAACAAGAGGGTAATGCACACATCCGACAACGACAGTGACGGCACTCTCCAGGTTGTGGCGTGCAGGTGGGAAATACGACACAAGGCTGGCCACAAACGCACACACACAGGCACCGGGTGTTGTGGCTGTGTTTGTGTATGTGGGTTGTGAGGGTGTGTGTGTGTTTGTGAGAGCCACCAGAGTCCTCCGCCTCCCCTGCTCCCCCCCCTTCTCTCCTCACTCTTCTCTCCCTGGAGCTTGTACTCTCTCACAGTTGTGGGCATGCTCCTCCTGGGCCTCTTCACTTCTTCTTCTGATCCTTATCGTTGTATTCTAAGAAGAAGTCGTTGCAGGCGACGGTGAGAGCTCCGACCAGGATGATGAACTCGGTGAAGTCTACCTCTCCGTCGTTGTTGGAGTCCAGGTCCCCCATAACTTTGTCTACTGCCTCTTTGTCCTGGGCGTTCTGCAAAAAGCAAAGCTCACCTTAGTATCAACAAGTTTCATGTGTGTGCTGGGAGATGGCGAGTGCTTCTTACCCCCAGGTAGTTGCCCAGCTCTACGGTCAGCATCTCTTTGAGCTCGGCCCTACTCAATGTGTATTTGTCTCCTTCGTTTCCGGAGTATTTGTGGAAGGTCTGGATCATGAGCTGCATGGCGCTCTCCAGGGTGGAAGCGTTCTCGAGGTTAGGCAAAGACATTCTGTGAGAGAGAAGAGATAGAGAGAGGGATCATTGAACTGTCAATGGAAGATTTTCGTTTGAGACAGCCATGTACCAAAACGGACATATACTGTATGTAAAACTATGCTAATGCAGTTTATACATTGAGTTGCATTGATTTTGCATCTGGAAGTAGACTGTAAACTTCAAATCAGGGTGGTGCTTCTAGTCAGAGATTGGCAGTCTGAGATCATCTGTTTCCTTGTTTCTTATCTTCAAACAGATGGCACAGGGCATGATCGGGAGGTGGACCCGTGAACCAGGCATCAGGAGAAACTCAAATGGAAGCAGAAAAGTCATATTTGTATAGTGGAGCTGCTCTGACAGATACGATGCCTGTCCAACCTCCCACTCATCTCCTGCGTGATGATCAGAGACACAGCCCGAACTATTTGACAGCCAAGAAAGAGCAACGCTTCTAAAAAACACTATTTTTAGAAGTCACAGAGAAAATCACACATTTGTACACACACAGTCTCCTTACCTGGGTGGTGGTGGGGCAGTGTCTTGTGTCTGAGCTGCGGAGATGGCGTGGGGGGAGATGCATCTGATGCGGGTCTAGAGCTGGAACATGACTTAAATACCCCCTACACTCCTCCCATCACACCTGAGCCTCCTCCTCGCACCTCCTACCCCCCCGCCCGCCCCTTCTGCGCTCTGTCCTCATCCACAACTTCTCTGCTTACACACCAGACACCTGCTATCTGTGTTGGGATCCTGCTGTTGTCCTGCAGGGATGACATAATGGCCAAAACGCTAATGGTAGCGAACCTACAGAGGGGGCATTAAGTAAATTGGAAAAACCCATAATATGTCCGAAACTCAACTCTAAATGGTCTGGTGGTACTCGGGTGACTGACAGAATGACAGAAACCACAGTCACATTGTAAACAGGGCTGACAGGAAAATGATCTGGGAAAAAGCTCAAGGTGATGTATGTATTTGTGTGCGTGTGTGTGTGTGTGTGTGTACGTGCGTGCGTGCATGCGTATGTGCGTGTGTGTTTTTCATTCCACTCAGTTGGTCAAAGTTGTTTATTACCACTCAGATGAATGGTTTTATTAGAATGATGTTATGTTTAAGACTGAGACATGGTATGAATTCTATAGATTTATATAATTGTCATAATGCATGCATAGGAACATGGCAGGTTAGAGATTGTTTTGGCACATAGAAATACACATGGTATACAGGTCGGAATTCATATAGGAGATTATGGCATTGGAATCCCCTTAACCCTGGTGAGCAGATGATGGGGAAAGTCCATGTGAGAAATAGCCCTGTCAGGGCCTGGTTAGAACTGTGATGGGGGACCTCTGTCACTGTGTCCTTAGGCCAGATGCTACACCAACATCCCCTTTAAGCCTGGGTCAACCTTCACTTCAGCTTCATAACACAGAAAAAGTTGAATGATTATTATTGTATTTTTTTCCACACACCCATATAAATCTGTGTTAGTGAGTTGCAAATCAAGATGCCGATTAGACAGCATGAATATTGAGATATTCATTAGTAATAGCCCTGACAGGGACCCATATTCCACATGGAGGTGACTGGTGTGTCTGTCCGGCCACTTTACTATTGGTGAAGGAGGTTTTATTATATCAGCAATAATTTTAACATTGAAGATAATGTCATAAATCTGAAGATCCAATCATGAATCAATGTTGAGTGCTTTTAATCATTGAAAAAGGTTTACATTGAAACCAAATCCAATACAATTAGGTTTGTGAGATTGTGGTATTACATTATGTCCCTGAAATGATAACCATGTTAGGCCATTTATTTATTCCATATAAAAATGTATACCATGATGTTCAATATCACACAAGTCATGGCTACTTTGCAATGATAACACAGCAGCAGAGTCTGGAGAAGAAGAACAGAAGGAAAATAACAGCCATAGAGATAGTTAGCGTCAATCAAGATTTGGTCGGACTTTGGTGAATGAGTGAAAGGGGAATAATAGACACGTCTGGTTCCTCCAACTCTTTTTCAGACCAGGAATATTCATATCTGTTTGTGTGCAGATAATGTGAAAACATGTCTTGTGTTGTGTAGATTTTTCTGATGAATAAATCCATCAATCAAAGAAAGGGAGGAGGCAAAAGTACTCTCCCTTGGATCTAAAACAAGTTTAGGTATGTATTAAAGTATCAGTTGGTTCCTGTACTTGAGTAAAAGTCAACAAGTACATGCTCTTATATGTACTTTAGTTATCAATAATACAAATACTATTAATAAATATTATGTTTTGCTCAAATATAGACAGTATTTATAATTATATGTAAGATTTGACTGTTTTATAAATATTTCCTACAGGCATTGGCAATGGAAAACAGCTGATTGCACATGTCATGTTAATTAACTTACCCAAGGCAAACCACTTCTAATGAACTTAGAAGCACAGGTAAGGCAAGGCAAGTTTATTTGTATAGCACAATTCATACACGAGGCAACTCAAAGTTCTGAACAAAATAAGAAAGCATTAAAATCATAAATAATCACAGAACATTAAAAAGAAAGATAAAAATATAAAATCCCTCAGCTGTATGCACAGCTAAACAGAACTGTTTTTAACCTGGTTTTAAACACTGTCAGAGAGGAAGTCTGTCTCACATCTTCAGGAAGATTGTTCCAGATTTTAGCAGCATGAATCTGAAAAGCAGCCTCCCCATGTTTAGTTCCGACTCTGGGCACTAACAGGAGTCCAGTCCCTGTGCTCCTCAGAGTCCGGGCTGGTTCATATGGGACTAACATGTCACTAATATATTTTGGTGCGAGGCCAAGGAGAGACTTGTACACAAGCAGAGCTGTTTTAAAGTCTATTCCCTGAGCCACAGGAAGCCAGTGCAAACCTATATTAATGGACTTAGAAGCATAGCTAACCGCATGTATTACAACTAACCCATGCTCGACACTAAAACTAGCCTAAGAGTAAAAATATTTGCTTTTTTTAAACCGACGGAGTAAAAGTAAAATATTGGAAATAGTCTAAATCAGCCATTCCCAAACTCAGTAACACCGAGGCCCCCTTAAAAATCTGACGGGTCTGCGTGGCCCCCCAAAATAATAACCAAGAACGGCGGCACGGTGGCTGAGTGGATAGCACTCTCGCCTCTCAGCAAGAAGGTCCTGGGTTCGAATCCCGGCCGGACCAGGGCCTTTCTGATTTGAGTTTGCATGTTCTCCCCGTGCCTGCGTAGGTTTCCTCCGGGTACTCCGGTTTCCCCTACCACTAAAAATATGTACAATAGGTCTGGCATGCGCCTCCTGCTCGGCAACCCCGCTCCCATCTCTGTGTGGAGTGAGAGGACAAGTGCCCAAAAAATAACAATTGTAAACCGCTTTGTGACTCTGGTCTGTGAAAGGCGGTATATAAATAAAGCTTACTTACTTACTCAAGAAGACAACATTACAACAAAACATTTTATTTTGGGGAAATAGCCTCTGCTACACACATTTTAATACAAAAATGATTACAGTGGATTATACAGTGGATAAGTCAAATAATGAACACAAATATTTTAATATTACAAACAAAACATTATAAATTTAACATTAAATAATTATATATTTTTTTTATTTTTTTTATGACCTCCCGCGGCCCCCCTGCAGTACCCTCGCGGCCCACCAGGGGGCCGCGGACCCCACTTTGGGAGACACTGGTCTAAATATTAAAATACCTCTTAGTATATCTGAGAAACGTCCACAGTTTGAGAAACACTGAAGCATATACTACACAAAAGGTAAATTATTCCAAGGCCCAAGCCACTGCATGGAAGAAAATGCACACAGCTACATGTATTTGACCCAATTTTATATTACTTGGGCTTTGAATGATGAATCAAACAGAGAGGACACAGGTTCACATGGGAATCTAAGTGTTTGAGGCTGATGGGTTTGGGCAATGTCTTGTTGAAATCTGTCCCTGCCATCAAGAGAGAGAAAAAAGGTTTTGAGTGGAATGACCCGGTAGTGTAAAATATGGAGTATTATCCAAGCTGTCATCTGATCTCACACTGCTGAATCTGCAGTTAATGCACAGGGACGATCTTTGCAACCCACGCCATGAATAGAACAGAACATAAAGATAGACGGGGACAGGGAGGGGGTGGGGGGTGGGGGGTGGGCGGTGCAGGATGGTGGGTGGGGGGGACAACATTGAACAGTGACACATAAAACATAAAGTGCATTTGAATGATGTTCTGTGGAGTCATGCGTGAATGGACACAACATGTGCATCTTATACGGACGCGCGTTGTTCTGTGCGTGATTAGCTGCAGGACTGAGCGCTGGACGTGTTTGTGTGTCTAATGTTGCAGGGAGGAGGACACGGCACAAAGGGAAGCGCGTACAGAATGTCGGGCTCACGTTTCATTAGTTGATGCTGCAGAGTTTGGCCAGTCAGGGGTGTCCGACGCTAAATTTAGTTCAGCAGGAGCAGAGGGATGGGCGATTCTTTTCTCTCCTCTCTCCTACCTCTGAGACATCGTCACTATTCCACACGGTTATTTTGGGTAAAGTTACTATACCTGCATGTGAAAGCCAGATCCCGTCGGACGTATGAAGCTGAGCAGGGAAGGGCCTGGTTAGTGCTGTGATGGGAGACCAGGTGCAACAGTGGGGAGGCTGTAAAGTGCCCAAATGTCATTGTGTCTTTAGGCAAGACACATCAACACATTACCTAGAATGAATTTGGTGTGTGAATGTTTGGTGGTGGTCGGAGGGGCCTCGCTTCTGTAAATGTGCCCCAGGGCAGCTGTGACTGCAATATCAGCACTGTGCATGCAGTGAATGAATATTGAAGAATGAATACATGTGAAAGGTTGTTGGGTGCCCTAAAAAGCACAATATAACAAAATCTTATAAAACCCATGCATTTAATTAATTTAGGCTATTTTTTTTGTCCGTTTGTCATATTTCTTTTTCAATTACCCAGACATCTTTTACATGCACAAACCATATTTTTCATTTTCTGAACAAAATTGAAATTTGAGTGAAATTGAGTTTTTCTTAATTAAGAATACAACGATTTTCAAGCAGGTTATCCAATCAGAGAGCAGAATGGGTTGCCAGTTTGTCAGGCGAAATTGAGCTGGAGAATTGAATACCGTTACAAAAACAATATGTAATACACAGCGTTTGTTCCATTTCCTGCTAAACCCCAGCAGGTGGTTTGCATCAGTGATACCAGACTGTCTGGATTGTGATTGTAATGACTTCATATATTACACACAGTCCCTTTAAGTTATATGAGCCTTTAATTGATGAAGAAAAACATTCAAAGAAGAGAAGGAGAGGGACAGATGAAGTTAGTTTTCTTTGTGTGAGTGTAAAGTTTGTTTATTGCTCATCTTTGAACCTCTTAGGCATTTTGAGCAAGTCAAGGTGGTTTTGCTTTGATTTGAACACAATTGGATCAGAGGTGCAGAGCTGCTGCTGAAGAAGGTGCTGATTTACAGATTCATGTTTTTGACAAATTATTAATGAGAAGGGTCAGCACATGGCCCCCAGCAGCATTTTGCCCAGGTCTGACATGGAGGCAGCTCACACTGAAGAGCCAGAATCCATAAAACATGGGCCAGCTCATGTACAAAAGTAGATATGTAAAAAAGTATACATGATGAGGCGCAGGGTGTTTTCATATAAAGTATTTATTGATTTGAAAATACAATCTTCTTAGCATGTTTAAAGGCCTTCACACAGCTCAGAGTCCTTCAAACCTTGATGGCCTTTGATAATGTGACTTGAGTGGTTATATATTCTTTCTCCATTAAAGGGGATGAGATGCCAAAATGAGATGACTTGAGTAATCTGGATATTATAATGATGATCATAAAATGGCACATATAGAAAATACATAATGCTTAATACGAGATTCCAGTCATGGGGAAATCTACGAAGCGGTTTCAGCGGATCCACTCTGTTTCTGACTCATGGTCTTGGCCACGTAGCCGATCAGTGTGAAGTATTCTTGGAAGCTGACCTTTCCATCGCTGTTTTCATCTAGTCCTTTCTGCATCTCCTTGATCGCAGAAGAGCTGTTGGCATCCTGAACAAAACCACAGAGGGGAAACATCCATTATCTACAGAATGTAACTGAATGTAGCGGGCACTTTTCTGCATGTACATACCTCCATGATGCCTCCCAGCTGCTTGCTCACCAGCTTCTTGAACGAACTAGAGTCCAGATTGTCCTTCCCCTTGGAAGACTTGATAAAGGTCATGACCAGTGTTTTTATGGCGTCCTCCATTTCTAAAGAGAAAAGACAAAGACAAACATGTGAGAAATACAGTAAACAAATAAATGGACTTTCTGAGAACTCAATGAGGACATAGCTTTTGTCCCATGTGTCTATTCTTTCATCTGTAGAAGAGCTATGAATGTGTCCAATCAGATCATCCTAGCTCTGGTCTGTCCTGGGAGCTCTGTCAGATTCTCCTCTCACATATAGAGACATTGGCGCTTCTGCTTATACACCTCGATTTGTAGCTTTTGTGGAGAATGAGATAAGATGCGGATCGTCAGGGATTGCGTAGCAGACAAAAGACATGTTTTATTTTTGATGGTAAAGAGAAGACAGAAACAGAGTTTTGCTGCTTGCAAATGTGAATTTATACAATGAAGGACTCCACCAGTAGCTTTGGCCTTCAGATATCCAAAACCTAAGTGGAGTCTAGCATACTGTTATTAGAATTATGAGTTCAACTTTAACCACAATTGCTTCAAAGTGTCATAAAAAATCCATAATTTTATCATTCATTTGTGTCTCTTTTTCCCTTTTCTCAAGTTCTGAAATGAGTGGAAATAGAATGTGCTTAGAAGATTGCAGTGTGGAAGTCCAGCCCATAAAATCCTTCACACTGAGTCATGGCCCAAACGGAAGTCACATTTCATTGATGAAGACGGATGAATTACATGACAAAACATCCTGATATCTGGTTTAAATGGAACAAAAAGTATGTGATTTGAAATGGGGTGAGATAGGGAGGCCCTCTGAGCAGCAGGAGTTTCTACATAGGGAGCCGTGATCTCTCTGACGAACGACATCTGATCGTATGAGGAGCAGGAGGCCACCGGGTCGTGTTACTGCGGCCTGCCGTATGCTGCACCATACATCTCACAAAACAAACAAACACGCTCCGAAACCACCTCCGGGAGCGACCGCAGAGCTAGTGCTACGATAAGATGGGGAAAAGACTGTATTTCAGCCTTTGAAGAACAAATATTTGCAGTTCCTTAAGTAATGCAAACCGACAAGCTAAGACATTGTTCTGACAAATGTTTTAATTCATTGCGTCACTTTTTGAATACACTATTATGTATAATCAAACTTTTAGAGATTTGCAGAATAGAGGGATGAAATCTTGTCTTGTGCGCCTCATTCCTACTGTTCTGTAACTTTGAAATTTTCCCCATTATGGGACGAATAAAGGATCCTAATCTTAATCTTAAATGCATCAACAAGACCATGCTGCATGACTTGTACAATGTTTTTATAGATTAAGAATATAAGAATTGCAATACAAAACTCCCTACATTGGACAGCACTATCGTTTCTCAGCAAGAAGGTCCTGAGTTTGAATCCAAATGCATTGGAAGGAAGGGTGAAATGCAGAGGACCAATCTCACTGCAAGGATCAACATTCATAAGAATTCATGCAGGCCGATCCGACTTGTTTTATAACCATTCATTATAATGCATTACAATTGAAACATGAGAGCTGCCATGTTTACCTCTTCTAAAACCCTTTGATGCTGCAGGTTTTATCAGAGTTCAGGCTCCAGTAGGCAGGTGCGGCTGGACGGTGCACATTTCATGCTTGTTTGCACACACACTGACAGTCCCTACCTGACGCTACCTGTGAGCTATTTTGTTTTGTTTTTCACAAGAACTGAATACCGAGACGGCGGCGGCTCTCGGAAAATGCACATTGATAAGTATCGCTCATTAGGCACATATAGGGCAGGGTGAAGTGTCTTCCAAAGCTGCCTGATTTCCAGTGAGTATTGGAAACTGCGGCTGATGACGGTACGTGGGCGCTCGGACTCGTGTTATTGGGGTAACCGTAGACGCCTGTGAATGCCGCACCTGATGCCACGCCTCCAACAGGACCAGCAGAACAGACAGAGACAAGCTGATAACTAAAGCAGGACAATGCTAATTAGGGCTCTGTTGCATTAACCTAATTACAAGGCGAGAGAGGAGGACACGCCATTGGACAGGCACCCAAAAAGACCCAGCTTGAATTTCATTGCAACACACACATACACACTGGAGTGATCATCTGTCATCATATGCAAGCTCTTCATCATTATTTAATAGGCTGCTATAATTGTCTTGACACCTAGCCAGCACAGCTATGCGTGCGGCAACAACAGCATGGCCCGTGTGTCCCCATTCAATGCATGTGGAGCTAAGGAACAATCTATCACTCTGCTGACAGACCACCGACCATTAGTGTCCTCCAGCCGGCGTAATGAGAGGAACATGAGAGGAGCCATAGGCCTTGGTCTACATGAGAACTGACAGTAGCTGCACAGTTAAAAAGGAGATCCAAACGCATGAATTATGGTGTCTTGTATCAATGCGATGCAGTTACAATAGGCCCAGTTACAAAGAATGGGTGAAGAATCATAATGTTCGGGTCACTTTTCCATCTCAGGAATGTTAGATTATTTATGTAATGCGATACGGACTTTAATAGTACAGGCAAGGCAAGCTTACGGCAAGAATTTATGGCTGAGAGAAGTTGGTAGAGGTCATGGAGCCTTCTGGCAAACCATGAGGCAGATCAGAACCAGGAAAAAGTAACAAGGTTGAAAATCAGAACACCCAAATTCAGACATCAAGACTGGAGAAAGGCTTTGGGTGGAGTGGAGATGTCTTTCAAGTTTCAAGTCGAGAAGTTCAAGTATCTCTGGGTCTAAGTCCAGTGTTAGATAGACTGTATTGGACTGTTGTGCTGAAGCTGGAGCAGAGCTTTGGGTCTAAACCAACAGATAAGGATTGCAGATATTTCAGGTCAGAATTAGAGATAGGTTGAGAAAATCAGTCACAAGGGAGGAGCTTGGAGGAGAGCCGCTGCTCTGCCCATATTAAGAGGAGCCAGTTGAGGTACCTCAGGCATATGTTTCGGAGGCACTGTGTCTCTCAGCTGGCCAGTGAACGCCTTGGGATTCCCCCAGATGAGCTGCAGGAAGTTTGCATTATAGATATGTCTGCGGCCTCTGCATCCCGGTCACAGTTAAAGCAGACAGAAGGTCCCTTTAGGTCACCAGACTTGTCCAGGGTTTGACATCTCCGATTGTAAAACTATTTTGACTGAACTCAGGCTTTTCTGAGCTTTAGAATTAGCTATGACAGAGCTGAAGTTGGCTGAATGACAAATGACCATCTCACCAGCTACAATAGCGCCATTATTGGAACTTTGTGGCACTATCAAAAACAAACGTCGACAGATACAAAGGTGGATTGCAGACGTTCCGAGCTTTACAGCTAGGTATAGCATGCATGTATCGGTGAAGCCGAAGTTGGCTGGATGACACTGTGAACTTGTGTTTAGGATCTCAATTGCAACACTGTCCTTGTTTAAACATATGTGGTCCCTCTATCAACATGGCTTCTTTACTGTCACAACATTTGGTGCCTGTCATGGAGATGGTTTCCTGCTTTAAAACATTACAAAGTATGATGTGGAATCACCTCAACGGGCAGGAAAAAGGTACAGCTCAGATCTGTGGAGGGGCGAGCCAGCTCACAGCATGAATCCATACTATACTATCTCTCAAAAGGAAAGATGCAAGTTAGACAAACTGACACTTTCAGTATAAACATGGCACCAGGAGGACTCTCTGACTGTAGAGGGCAATGTTTCCAAGGCTGACTTCAGTAAATAAATGGTACAATATATCTGCGGCTTAATATTTCCTTTTCAACTAGCAGACAGATTTAGGCTCAACCCTTTAATGTCCACTTCTTGAAGAAAGCAATGTCATTTTTTCCTTTTGGATTTTCTAAGATGTAATAGCACTAATAACACAAATAACCTAGTTTTTGTTGTTGTTATTATTAGATTATTATAGACCTTTACCAAATGGTCGGGATGCAGTTTGATGATACAAGTGTCCAAGACCTTGTGAGATGCCCCAAAGAGGTATATTTCAGTTCCAAGCATACTTAAAGTAGACATATATGGTGACTTAAAGAGTGAAATTGTTGAGGAAACCATTGTGGATCGATGATTTCTATTTTAAAATAAATTAACACATGACTTATATTATTATATTGCATTTACATTTTTGACATCCATTCAAAATCTTGAATCTATTTTATCCTTTTTTATTGAAACAGTATTAGTGGCATGCAATAATGTTGAAATGAGACCTTAAAATGCATTTCCCAACAGTTTCTCTAAGGTAATGGTTGCGTAAATATTTGTTTCTGTACAAATGAGATGTGACCTTATAATTAACAATTTGATGACTCAGGTGAAGGTTGTGCAAACTGGAGTTACAGATATCTGCTCTATGTTTCACTAAACTGCCTTGGCTTTTGGATACGAGGCCTACTGTATGTACCGTCCTACAACACTTCACTACATCATCAGCAGCTGTTGTTTCAGCCTAATGTAATGTGGTCCTCCGAGCATCAGTAAAAGCATGTGTGCACGCCCTTTTTGGCCTCGTTCATATTTCATACAAATGATGATAAGATGCTAATACCCATGTCAACTATAAGCTCCCCAAAAGTAGTTCCAAAAAGCTTCACCATTTCATGGGCCTCAATGGTTTTGTTTTAAAACGTGGAACTGGGCGATAGCTTTACATTTATAAAACCAGCACCAAGACTTGTCAAATCAAACATTTCAACACATCATCAGGATTTCTCAGTCGCACAAATATTTCCAAAGAATGTCAGTTAACAAAGAGGCTGTTCAGAGTGTGTTATTGGTGAATTTCAAACATTAACACTGGCATTTACTGCACCACATGACTCCACATCATGTTTGTGGGTTCTCATTCTTATTGTTTGAATCATCAGTGCAGCTCAGCTCGAAAAAAGGTTGGAATATTTTATGGATTCATTCATTTGACTCACCATCCGGTAGCAGCTGCAGTTTCAATACTATCATATTATATATTTGATTTTCCCTGGAAGTGGCTGAAACAGGCCACATGTCCAGGGGCTAAAAGTGACCACTGACTTAGCCTCAAGGCGTGCATCACATAGTGCAGAAATGAGGGCCATGCTGGTCACACACTGCTCTCATTCTGAGGCAATTGGACGTGTACAAACGCGTACAGGTAAATCAGGCTGGGCCACCCCACCTTAGGACAACACTGTGAGCTCTGGGCGTCTGTGGGGAGCCCCGCGGCTGTTACAGCCTGGGCCTGGGCCTGGGCCTGGGCCTGGGCCTGGGCCTATACTGGCTCAGATGGTAGCGGCAGTGCCAAAGCTCCACCCTGGCCTTGTTGTTTGTAAAGGCGTGACTGACTCACTTCCTGCGGGGACATGGTACCTGTCATCGGCCTGGTCACTGGTCACAGGTCCCCTCCTCACTGAAGCCTTTTCTCTGCTCTTTACAATCTTATCGTGACACGGCGTGAATAATTCATCCTGATAGGAGCCAATCTGACCAAATGCCTTGAGTTGGCCCAGCGATAACGGGCCGTGCGCGGTGCCTGTGCCAAAGCCACTGCGCACACAGATAAGAGACGGGGGCTTGTCCGCCCACGTCCACGTTTAGCCCTAACTAATCCTGACAATTAGTAGGGGGCCTGGGACCACTGCAGCACTGCGCATGAATAAAGCAACATGATGCGGTCTCGGGTTTCTGTGGAAGTGTAAAGGACTCGGGCTTACATTACCAACAAGGAAAACCTGATCCCCATGGCCACCAATGTGCGCACTGCTAAAACATACAACATTCATGACAGCCTCGGAATAGCCAGGTTCCCTAGTCAGCCCCAAAATGTAAGAATCTATATTAATAAAAAAGAGCAGAGCATAAAACTTACTGTGTGTGAATCTAGGCTTCTTCTTCAGCTGCTTCTGTCCCAAGATCCTCCTCCCTCAGTCCTCCTCTAGATTAACCAGCAACACATATCTTTTCCGTGATTTAACTACTCACTCAAGCCAACTTTTTTTCATTGTCACAGGGCGTGTGCTCAGAGAGGAGGAATGCGCAAAGAGGCGCAGCTTGAGCAACTGCGCTTCACACAAATAATTGTCTCCAAACATCTTTCTTTGTCTACACTTTATGCTGTGGAGCAAAGAAATAACACTATTCTGACTGACCTTCTTTAAAAATAACATTTTAATACGATTCATAGTGTATGCCTTTCTTTTGGAGTGTGTTTGTAAACGTGTATAAACTTGTGTCCACTTCTAACATGATGTAAGGGCACACCCTAAACCCTGCGCTCTGCAGTGTAGAGGAAAGAACTCTTACCCACAGAAATGACCAAACGCTGAAACCAACGCAAGGTTTTCACACTGAACTTTATTTAGTCGCTTCGTGCTTTTGTCAGACACATTTGGAGTGGAATGGAGTGCACAACAGCGCTGTCTGTGCGCGCGGGACCCGTGCCAAGCTGCACAAGACTTTCCTGGAAAAAAGAAAACAAGGAGAAAAGCTGCTGCTGTTCCAGACTTGTGCGCAGGGGCTGGGAGTGCACTCAGGGAAAGACAGACTGGTTTCTATAAAACTCAAATAGTTGAACAATATCCAGTGACAGTGTGTGAACGACGAGGGTGGGAAGCAGTGAAGGTAGTAGATGACACACACTCACACAATATTGTTTGGAACGAGTCCAATTTTGAGAGTGGCGCAAACTAAACTCCACCAACACACAGGTGAGCGGCTATTGGCTGTAGGTGCCATGCTTGTTGGCGAGCTGTCCAATCAGCTGCCAGAACTCCAACAAGTTGAGCTGTCCGTCGCTGTTCTCATCCAGTGATTTCATGAGTTGGTCAATGGCGGATGCGTCAGTGTTCTGTGGCGCACAAAGAAAAGAAAAGCAGCATTCTTAAAAGCATGAATAAAATATAATTAATGACAGACTCTTGTGAATAGAGCGCGTATGGGCAGAGGAGAGGGAGAGAAACATGCGCTGTCAGCCCTATGGTGGTTTGGCACTGTCACTTTTAGCTTTGTTGCCATCTGGTGGCCGCTTTAAGGAATGCAAGACTGGAAAATTCCACACCATTTATTTTATTTATTTATTTATTTTACATTAGACAAACGTAATATAAAGCAGCCAGGGGTACTCAATGTTTAAACCACAAAAAATAACTATTTAATAAAATCAGCACAGCAAGGAGGTCCTGGGTTGTATTTCACCTCCACACAGGGCCTTTCTGTGTGGACTTTGCACATTCTCCCTGTGTCTGTGATAGTTTCCTCCAGGTGCTACGGTTTCCCCTACCACTAAACACCTGCTTCCATTGTTGTATGTAGAATAGGAGGAAATATGTAACATTTGCCTTACATATTGATGTAGAAATATGTATTGTGCTGGTTTGAAATGAATAAATATACAAAAGTAAAGCATTTGGTTACTTTCTGAAAGGCGTAGACATAAATACAGATTACTTGCTAACTTGATAAGATACTGTATTATTACTTATCCTGTACTAAATAGTTCATTGCTCTCAGTTTGGTTCTATCACTAGTTTTTCATGCATGTGTTTTTGGCCTCTGTCACATGTTGAGATCAGCTTTTTCAGACACAAAAGTGAAAAATAGAGAATTACTTTCTTTCAGCTCATTTCCCAAAGCATCAAATAGTGACATGTTTTCTAAATCAGATGAAGACAGAATGTTACCTGATTAGTTAATATTTTACCTGTACAAGGCTCTTTCTGTTAGAACAAAGAATACTGTTAGGTGGCCCAGCTTTAAACCCCGCACATTTTATTAGTAAACAGCTTTCTGTGATGCTTTTTCTAGATTCTTGCATGAGCGCAACCGAAGTCCAAGTCCTCAAATGTGTTACTTCAAGACTCTTGAAAGAAATGTCTTAATTTGCTTTTGCGTGAATGTCTTCGCCTTTTCTCACCATCGATACTTTCATGTGTTTCAAGACAAAAAGTGAATTGCTTTAACTTTTCAAATGCAAAAATGAAAGTCACATCCTACCTCTGAGTGTACAGTGCACCGTGTAGGCCGAAAGAACTAGTTTCCCACATGAGACCAAGGCAAACACACTCTTGTCTGGGATGACTAATACTTAATTACAGTGAAGCAATGGTGACCAGATGGAACCAGCTCGGGCTTGAGAGGGGCTTTCCATGCAACAATCCAAGAGGAGGAAAAGTAAAACATTTCTCTGACAATTTGGATGTTTCTGTTTGACCACAACACAAGGGGTGTGTTGGTTGGAATGTGATGATTGAAATGAACTGGTCAAATGGAAGAAAACATAAGAACAATAAATGCATGATGGGATCTATCTTAGAATTAATGTTTCTGCTGGTGTTTTTTTTGTATTGTACTTTAATCTGTAGCACTTTGCGGTTTCCTGGAAATGTACGGAGCAATATAAATAAAATGATTTTTGCTTACTGTACCTTTAAAAAAAAGTAAACAGCAAGTCAAATACCCCAGCTTTAATCACAAATCCACAGAAAGAAATCGCAACAATATTCCCATACGGACACAATACTGAGATTTGAGAGTGTAAAAAATAATAGATATAATTTTTAGTGTCTGAATGCCGTCAGTATATAGATAGATTTTTTGTGTGTACTAACGCATTATTATTTTAATGTGAACACTTTTTGTCTTGCAGAGAACTATACCCAATTCTAAACCCCAACCCTAACCTTTAGTCCTAAAACCCTATTTCTACCCTGTCCAATCCTTTCCCACATGTTATAATTATAGATCCATAGATTTGAGTGAGTCTTGTCAACACTCACCTCCACTAAGTTGGGAAGCTCAGACGTGACCAGTTTGTGGAACTCCGCCCTGCTCAGAGTGTTGGAGGACCCCTCTTGACCTGCATACACTTTAAACACTTTAAAAAGCTCTCTAATGGCAGCCTCCATCTTTTGCCTTTAACACACACACTACAAATATGAAAAGAACAGCTCACAAATGATCACGGAACCAGACTTTGCAGTCCTTTTGTAGTGGTGTTTTGAAGCAATGATTGACTTTTTTTCTTGTATTTTATAACCATCCTCTTTGCCGCTGCAGCCAGTAATACAATAACCATGTTTCCACCACATTTTCCGTGATGAAAGCTGATAGTTTCCTTCACTGGTCATAGTTAATAGTTTCTGTCTGACCTCTGGAAACGTCATGCAAGGACATATCTACAACAGTTAAATTGGCAGTTGCAAAGTCTTTATCTTGCTTCTACCACACAGTTAGAAAAAAAGTCTCAAAGCCAGAGATGGATGTCCTTGCTCAACCTTAAACTGAAAAGATTTAATGTCCAAATACAGATAGAGTTGAGTATGATTCGTGGAAGGGGAAAGGTGGCCCACTAGTTTGAAGAGTGCCTTAATATATGCACTCCTTCATATCTCTGTTAAGTCTTTTGTTTGTGTGTGTGACTGGGTGTCATCAGGACAGCTTCTGTGAGAATTGTCCTGTAGCCGTAGGAGGTTGGGGTTGGGCCAGGATGAGTGGCTAGGCTCCAGTTTTCTTACTCAGCTTTTCTATTGATGATGAACTAATCGTATATGAAGGTTTTACACACATCTGTGAATATGATTTTTTTTTTTTTTTTTTGCAGTTATGCCTCAGTTTGTACATGCTTCTTTATTATGACAAAGTAGAGATTTTTATACTTCTTTATTATGCTAAAGTCTAGGATTTTGTACTTAATTCTTGTTTCTTCATAATGCTAAAGTTAGAAATGATAGATAGCGTCCTTATTAGGATAATTTAATTTATTTTTTATTTATAGAGTTCTTGTTTATTTATCTTGTGCTTTGTGCTCCTCATTCTTACTGTTCTGTAAATGTTGATGCAACATGGGGGGGCAGATTATTTATTTTAATCAAAGCTGAGTTTTATTGCTTGTCTGCTCTCCTTGCTCTTCTATTGGTGCATTTTTAATACAGTGTAAGATTATTCTGATATCACATAAAAGTGCATTTTTTTTCAGGGAGGAAAAGGTCAAAACTGAAGAAAATTCCTAAAAGTGCAGCACAGAGGCCCTTCTTTAACTACACTTATAATAACAGCTCCATAATGCACTCTGCCAGGGGCTTTGTTTGTTCCTATGTTTTAGGAAAAGTGGTCCAGCTGGTTTTGTTCCCGCTGCGAGAATCCTTTTGTTGTTTTGTGTTCAGATTATCCACATGGAAATGAATTATTAAAATATATTCTTCACTCATTGAATCAAAAGCACCGAACGTTTCCTCTTCACGTTTATTACAGTAAAGGTCAAAGCACACACGCTTCAATTAAGCTTTTTAACCAAACTTCAGAAAATCAAACAATCAAAACAGTCACCACTGAACAGACAAAAGTGTATGAAATCATTAGACTTGTAAGTGCACGGAATACATTCTGAACCTGAAGACTTTACATGATCAACATGTTAACGGTATATGTGCTCTTTACGGTAACATAAGAAAATAAGTTAAATAATGAAAACTATGGCACAGTCAAGTGTTCAAGACATATGTACAAAAATAATTGTGGAAATGAAAAAGCAGTTTTACAGAGAAAACACTTGAAACCAGGCTTTTTCCCTAAACACCGGGTGGGCAGCGGTGGAAGTGAAAACTAGCTTAGAGGAAGAGCAACCGAGTGAAATAGGTACAAACAAAACAAAAACATATGTGTGTCGACAGAACTACAAAGCCAAGTGTGATAAAAACGGCTTGTTCTGAATCATGGTGGATTTAGGAGCGACAAAAATCAACTCATTTCTTCTTTCACAGCCCAGTTACACATTTGGAATTCCAGTCCATGACAAAACCCCCGTCACATGGTCAAAGTCCATTCCACACGTTACCTCCCCTTTAAAAACATTTATAACAGAAGCCTTATCTGTATAATATTGAGTTCAGTAGTTATAACACAATGGACCGAGACCAGGATATTTTGAGTGAATTACAAAAACAGTAGGCATATTCTTCAAATGGTAAACTAACCCATTTGAAAGTGTCAATAACAAAATAAGGACCATTAGCATTTGATAGAAATTTGAGCTGCTTTGATGTTGAAATATTTAGATTTACATACAACCATTTAACCAGTGCAGCGTTCTTAAGCCTTGTACATGCAGTCTGGATTATGTTGAATAAATTCATGTCCTTTCTCTTTGTCCGCCGCCTCTATGCATAGATTATCGCAGTTGTGTGTGGAAGTTTTCCGAGTAAGGCATTGAACACAGCATGCAGTAGATTATTGGGATAAAGTAACATTTTGTAGACAAACAGGAGCATTAGGGACAAGCGACAAATTGCCTCTCGAGGACGAAAAAGTGTATTCTATTCTAAGCAGGTGGCAGACGTCATTCCGAACAATAGTGCACACTGCAGGAGCTATAGAGCAGTTAAATGTGACATCATTTCTCACGTGTAGATTAACAAACCAACAAAAATTTGCTTGTTTTTGATTTTTTTTTACATTATACACACCACTGTTACCAAAGCAACCGACAAATAATGTAGAATAAGTGGTTGTGTATCAAATAGAATCAAGCAGATTCTATTCAGATTCAGATTCAAGCTTTAATCACAACGACCCAAATTAACAAAAAAAAAAAAAAAAAAAAAAAATCAGTGAATATGTAGTAAGAGGCAGCCATCTTGTGATACCAGTTTGATGGTTTTAAACTAAGACTTGCCAACGGAACAAGCAGCAAATAATAAAATAACACAAATTATTCACTTGAAAAGAGGAAGAAATGCTAGTGTTTGAAAAAAGCTTGTTCCATCAGTACCTAAAGAATAGTACAATATTTTCAGGCTAAGAACACTGGTGTTTTAGCTCGAGTCACATGTGGCTCAATTCTACTTTTAGCTTAAGTGTTATAATCATGAAATAAACAATTAAAGGGCTGTCAAGTAATTTTGTCAATTGCATAGATAAGTCTAACATTTAAATAATGTTGTTTATTGCCTTATATATCTTCCATCACAACAACTTATACTGAAGTCATATAAAACACTTAAAGGTGATGTCAATAATGTGATTTTATAATAATGTGTATTTTGGACCAAGCGACACTGCACCATTATGTAAGCAAGTCATTTTTAACCATTTCAGTCCTTCCTATTGACATAACGACCACCAGAGGAGAACAGTCAGATGGAGATAAGTATATTTTGTCCAATCAGGAGGCTGTGGAGGTGAGCATGGGCGGGTCTTACCGTGTCCCCAAAAAGTTTTCACTCTGAGAAATGGATTCACTTCTAAGTCTAGCACTTAGAATCTTAATTTATGACATTTCTTGGCAGTTTCCATTTTAAACCAGTATAACATTCGACATTTACTTCGTTTAAACCCTCGACGTGGCCCTTTTTGCGCCGTTCTCTTCAGCCTCGCGTTCTTTTTCTTTCTAAATCCGCCCTGACTTTATCCTTTTCCCTCAACAACATAAACTTCTGCATCACCTCCCTTTCGAACCCCTCCATCTCATCCTCCACCGCACTATCCGCACCGTCCTCCTCCGCTTCCACCAGATCCTCCAAGACATCCCCCACGTCCTCCACATAATCCTCGAAACTCGTCCGGTCGTGAGGGAACGCGCCGTTTTCGAACATCTCCGCCGCCAGTTTGCGCAGCTCGTCCGCTTGCGAGGCCTCCACTCCAGCCGCCTGCGCTTTGGACAAGTAACTGCTCAAGATGGCTTCAAATTCGGCGAGAGCGACCGGCCTCAGTCCCTGTGCGTGGGCGCAGCTGTCCGGAGAATCGCACTGCGGCGGAGTTTTGGCGCTGTGTTGGATGCGTGCTCGTTGCCGGGACCAGTATTCGGGCTGGCCCACGGCTGGTTTGACCTGGGAGGACGCAGGTGCAGGCTTCGTCGTTTTGCTTTTCTCGTCGTGTTTAGCGGACTTCTCGGCGTCCCAAGCTTTGCGATAGCTTTTCTCCACCACGATCCTATCCTCCTTTCCATTCTTCCACTCTTTCTTCTCATACTTGACCCATTTTTTCTGGTCTTTGCTGTGCTCTTTCCCCTCCCCACTGGCTTTCCGGTTGTGACCTCCGTTTCCGTCTCTCTCTTTCCATGGCCTTTTATCATACTTCTCCTCCTTATGCCCATCTCCTTCCTTTTTCCAATGCTTATTTTCTGACCCTCTGGGCTTTTCCTGGTTATACTTACTTTCTTTAAAATCTCTTCCGTCTTTACCCTTTTCAAATTTCTTGTGCTTTTTATCAGCTTCGTGAGGCCACTCCTTCTTCTCTTTCTTTTCCTTATAAGACATCCCTTCATCTCCCTTCTTTGACTTGTCCTTTTTCCACTCTCTCGTCTCGTGACCTTGCTTGTCGTGCTTATGTCTCTTCTCGTATTTACCACCGTCATATTTATCTTTGTCACTTTCTTTCCCTCCCGTCTTCCCTCCATCTTTGCGCCGTTGTTTTTCCTTTTTCCAATTGGCTTTCTCTGCATCTTTCCACTCCTTTGTGACCCCTCTGTCCTGTTTGTCCTTATTATGCTCTGCTGGCTCTGGAATGCTGTGCTCAGTCCTTCCACTAGGGGGAGTTGTAGCCGCTGCTGAAAGAGAATGAGGTCAGTGGACAGTTCTGTACAGTAGAAGTTACAATGATGAACTTCATGTTGCATATTATGTTTTCTTACAAACAAATGGTTTGTTGTGGATAATTTATTTAATTACAGACCACATCGTCTTTGTGAGAAAACATAACGAATGATTCAAATATGGTCAGTAAATGGTTGCTACTCTACTAACTATCCAATATCTACAGCCTAGTCCAGTGTTTTTCAACCATTGAGTCATGATTATGCATTTTCTGGTTAAAATGGAACATTGTCCACTAAAATGGTGTCAATAAAACAAATTCATACTTTCACATTATCAATATTTCCTCATTACAAGGGTCTCACAAAGTGCTTTACAATCTGATGTATAAAAGATTAAATAATGATTTACTACTGGATTGGTCATAAGGATGGGTTTTTTTTAAAGTCACAACTGGTTCAGTTCAGTTGCCCAGAAAACATGATAAATTGTGGAGAGTGAAGAAACTGCAATGTTTCTACGTAACACTGTGCAGTCTCCTCCAGCTGCAGCAAACTGGTTGAAAATCACTGTCCTCATCATGACTCTGGTCCATGGGGTCTACCTGCTGTACCTGCTGTACCCGCTGTACCCGCAGACAGCTTCATCTGGGTCAGTGTGGACCACAGAGCCTGGACCTCTCTCTGTAGGGTGGGCACAGAGTCCAGCTCAGTCCTCATCCTCTCCAGCTCTTTCTGAAGCAGCGACACACTCTGCACCTCTTTCTTTAACCTACTGTTTTCTCTCTGCAGCTCCTGCTGTCCAAGCCGCTCAGTGCTGCCCTCTGCAGCTTGAGCTTTGGCCACTTTGAGCTCCTCGTTCTAAGTGTGGAGAGAAATGCATTCATATTGATTCTTTAAAACAAACATATATATTTAAAGTATACATTATGTAGCCTTAGTGCAACAAAACCCATTTGTACCTGAACTTGTGCTTGTAACATTTCAATCTGCTCGTTCCCTTGAGTGAATGTGCTTAAGAACTCTGCTGTCTCAGCTTTTACTCCAGGCTGAGAAACGTCTGGGGTAAGCCACTCCTGACACACAAGCAGTCAATTATTCAACTAAACTAGACATGTCAGGATGTTTCTACATTCATGGTAAAGTAAACATAAGTGGAACTACCTGTTTTCCAGAGGATTCGGATTCCCTCAGCTCTCCAGACGGACTGTCACTTTCTGCAGAATAAATACAGATAAAGCCCCATTACGTCTGTTCAATAAAAGGGTCTGGAGCCAATAGCTCATATATTCAGATATTTGAATCACATGGCAATGAGGCCATTACAAGCACAGACTTTATATCTACTTCCACACAAAAGGTTTTATTGCATTACTTTCATTATTAAAGTGTGGGTTTGAAAAGGTGTTCCATTCAACACTCAAAGCAAACTCAACTTTGTGCCATCACATTTGACATGCACACCATGACCATGCAGTGACAGCAGGGAGCCCCACATGCTGAAGAAACAGAACCTACCCTCGTCCAGGTCCACCAAGACACCTGCAGGTACAGTACACTCAGTCCAGCTCCCAACACAGACACCATGACCCTCTCACACAAGGCTGCTTACCCGAGATAAATATGGTGCCGAGGCCCAGCAGAATGACCGCTCCCAGAATGCACTTGTTCAGGGTGATGCCAGAGTCCTGTTCTCTCTGAGGCAGCTGAAACTCTTCCTCTACCTCCTGCTCATCATCGTGTCCAATCTGCTCCAAAGCCACTAACCTCCTCCTCCTCAGCTCCGGCTCCAGAGACTCTGTTTGGACACTGGGATCTACAATGGCACAAATGACAAAGACAGACATTTATCATCTTCGTTCATATGAACACATTACACTGTATATATGGGTCTTTGAATTGCATGACTTGGTGAAGACGCTAATCCATCCCCTTTAATGCATCAGGGTGAGAGCCATGCTTCCATGTAAGTACTTTACTATTCTAATAAAAGGAAGAAAAACATTTGTCCAGGCGGTATCCATAAGAAAGTACAGTGAATAATACACCTCTGCAATCTTTCTCATTGTTGATACAATATTCATATGCACAAACCATTTCAAAAGTGCTTTTATATTTCTAAAAGGCAGCCTCCTGCGGGACGCTGGGCTGTTTCACTTCCCTGCTGTGCAAAGCGACATTTCCCATTTACACAAGCAGCAGGCAAAGACAATTAAGGCGCTGAGATTAAGCGGAGAAAGCAATTTGCTTATTTTAGTGGTAGAAAGACTTCAAGGAACATTTCTAAAGTGACCTACAATAGGATTTCACTGCAAAGAATAGTAAGAAATACATTTATAACCACGGCAAAAAAAATGTCAGATGCAATAAATTATAAATAGTGTCCCTACCACTGTTTTTTTGGTTTGTTATTGTACACTTTTTCATTGTGTGCTTGAAATAAACTAAACTAAACAATATCTGTAATTCAACTTACAACGTTGATATTTGAATTCATGATTTCCCCACTTTAGGACAATTAAAAAGACCTCTAAATCATTACAGGCAAAGTGACTTATGCCAAGTCTAAGTTTGATATAATGTCGATGTTCTCGGCTTACAGTCCATTCTGAAAATATTCTATTTTCTAAATTTAGAATTAGTTTTATTTGGGGTTTTTACAAGCTGTGAGCCATCACTATAAACATTATAACAAACAAAGGCTTGCTCATAATGAGTCTATCATATAGTAGTTTCACACTGTAGGTTGAATAACAGAAGTGAATATACTTTGCAACAATATTCTAAATGTGAATCTAAGGATTTTTCACCTGTTCATCTGTGCTTTTGAAATGTGTCATTTTCTGCTTCTCAAACTTTTTATGTTCCTTGTCAACCACAAAAAATATTACTTATCTCTCACTAGGTAATATGGACCCAAACAGTACCAAACAGTACCAAACCAGTACCACAACTGCTACATCCCACCAGGCATTACAACATACATGACCTTGAGGTGCGTCTATAGGACTGCTCTCATGCATCTCCTGCTGGGCCTCTTCTTCCTCCTCCTCCTCTCTCACAGTTTGCGTTCGGTCTTGAACCTCCGTCTGCTCCCTGACCTCCTCCTCCGGCCCTGGGTCCAGACGTCCCAGAGTCTCAGTGCTCAGTGGAGGGACAGCTGTCTCAGTGGGGGTCTCTGCAGGAGTGTCTGCTGAGGGTCCCAGGTCTGAGTAAGAGTCAGAGAAGGACTCTGGCTCCAGCGTGGACACGACAGCGCCCCCTGTCGGTGGGTGAGGGTGGCTCTCTGATGGAGCGGAGGAGCAGAGGGAGCTGGCATTGACATCTTCATTGTCTTCAACTACAGGTTCTTCGGATTTCTGAAACAAGGTAATAAAACAAGAGAAAGAAAGACAATAATATTCATAGAGCTATTCACAATGGCAACACGTGTGACCCTGGCATTTATTATTTATTGTTTATTTGGTTGGGACAGTACATGTTAAAGAACACATCACTCCAGATTGTAGCCATCCGTTGTCCCAAATTCACACTCACAAACACACACTCATTCACCGTGAACTATTGCACATGTTTTTAGTGGTAGGGGAAACCGGAGTACCCGGAGGAAACCTACGCAAACACGGGGAGAACATGAAAACTCCACTCAGAAAGGCCCTGTTCCGACTGAACCCAGAACCTTATTGCTGTGAGGCGAGGGTACTATCCACTCAGCCACCATGCCGACCAATCATAATGAGATTTGTTGTGATGCGTTAATCTTTAATTTGCTTGATATGGCTGTGTTGGTACAGCATTACCCTTTCTCCACCAACTCCCACTGATGTCTGCTGTCAGTGTGTCCTTAGGCAAGACACTTCACCCCCATTGCCTAGATTGAGTGTGGTGTGTGTGAATGGTCGGTGGTGGTCGGAGGGGCAGATGGCACATACTGGTTGCCTCGCTTCTGTCAGAGTGCCCCAGGGCAGCTGTGGCTACAGTAGTAGTTTATCACCATTATTATGCTATTAAGTACAGTAGATCTGGTGTACATAGCAATTACAGAAATTGGATAGGCAGGACATTTGAGCCTGGTTATTCATTTGGGTTGTTTTTAATGGTAAAATGGTAAAAAAAAAAAAAATAAATACTCCTTTGAAGCAGATTTGCATTTCCAAAAGTGGTTCAAATATAATAGAAATAGGAACAGTAGAATATTAATATCATGTATTTACCAGGTGATCCTCTTCAGTTAACCCATGAGGACCATCTGAAGGCTTTGTACCAACACCTGTAAAAGTAAACAGCTTACACACCACATCCAGCCTGCTGTGATGATTTTTCCAAACTACAGTGAGACAGACCGTCAGTGGGTGCACTGGGTTCATCCTGGCGCTCTGCTCTCTCAGTGAGAGGCCTCAAGGTCTCCGCTGCTGCAGACTCCTGATAGAGAGAATAATGTCAAACTCTGCAAATACAGCATTGTTCTGTACTGGGAGCATGCATCTTTAATAAAGCAGCAGTTATAATGTAGAGTTATGATAATTTGATACCATACATATTCCAGTCCAATCCCATTTCCATTGAAATGTTCATAAAGGGAGAGGAAATGCGTTACCTCAGGAGAGACAATTGTCCAGCTGTTGTTGGAGCTGCCGGCCATGGCCCCTACAGGCTTTGTGCCTTCTGTAACAAACCAGAGAAAACCAGTCAACAAAAAGAATATTCACCACATGACATCACAACTGAGTGGGCTAAACATAGGCCAATGGTTCTAAGCTAGCAGAGTCCACTAAGCCTGTCGATCATTTGGAAGGACTCAAACTAAAATATGACTTGCATAATGTTTACAGAGTTATGTTGGTGAAGCATGAATATTTTAGGCTGGGGCGTCAAGAAAGCTATAGAATGATATGTATTGATTTATGCTGAAATATTGCAAAGGGTAAATGTATTGCAGGACATATGTAGGAGGATCAAACAGACTACAAAAATTAGATTAGATAATATAAGATTCATTGTCATTACAAAGTCCGAAAAATGCAATGAAATGCAGTGACGTGTATATTTTTGAACGAAATATGATGATGAGGCCATGCATGAGGAGAGAATTTCCCCCTGTTGAGGTGGTGAAGGGGAGGAGGAGGAGGGTTGTGGCACTAGATTAAAGCAGAGTAAAGACTGTTCACATGCAGCCAGATGAAGGCAAAAAGCCGAACGTCTACTCCTGAAAGTATTCGCAATAAACTCGAGTCAATACAGCCGTGAAACTGTGGGATGAATACATGTCTTAGCTACATTTTTCATTTGCAATTAAAATCTAAATTTCAATGTCTTGCACAGTCTTAACAGTCTTGTACGATTATTCCAATGTGGTTTTACTGTAAATAAACTAGAATTTAAATTACTCATCTGGAATTTACATCCTTTGGAGACTAGAAAATGGGTGAGTATTTATTGGTAGATCTTGAGAAACTGGTTGGGACTTCTTTCTCTTTTGTCTACTACGTTTGTTTACATTGAGCTGGTGGCAAATGGATAGGTGTCTGACACTAAAACCTGCAAACTGACAAAAGGCGACATACTACATCGGAATTGCGCCTGGTTGTGAATATTCCTGACACAGGAGATTCATGTGTAGAAGACTGAAGCACGAGAGGCACCGGCTGCTGTGGACAATACAAACATTTCCATCTTTGCGATCACATGTTCAGGATTTGAATACCGCCTCTTGCATTCAGCCTCACCCATAAAGGCCGTAAAGGAGCTACTGTAACGGCCTATAAAACATGTCCGTGTGTCTGTGTGCAGGAAGTGTAATTCACTGGATGTATTGAGGTCTTCATTAGCAGTTGGTACATGTCCTTTGCCTTTGGTCTCACTGGCTTTTAGTGGCGGGAAATGTTTGGCAGAAACTGTGGTTACTAAGGCAGGCTGACTTTATACTCACTATATACGCTCAAATACCCAGGTCTCTTCTGGAAGCTGTAGGGCTGAGCTTTCACATATTCCCCATTGTGAATAAGTCCAGGAATATTCCCATAAGAGAAAAGGAAAACTGCTAGACTCAGGCAAGGATCATGAATTTTAGAATATGTTTGCAAAAAGTCGAAAAGACACAGTTAGCAGAGATCTATCAAACAAAGACATTTTGTTGTTTGCAAAAAAACTTTTGCCAACAGTTTGACAATTCAAATTACAGCCAAACCATGAGATTTTGACACATCTTGCAGCCAAATAGTAATCAAAGTGTCTGTCTTGACACAAATTTGAATGATCTTGGACATAAACGACATATCCACTGAATTGCACCCTCTTTTGTAAGTTTTTTTAATTTCTCCATTGTAAGATCGATAAAGTTTATCTTATTATTTGAATCATAGATGGGAGATAAATAACGGGGACATGTGGGAAGTTGTGTTTTTAACTCCAATTAATAGTACTTTTAATGTAACCAAGTTCTGAAATACTGTAGACCAGTAGCTCCACTCAAATCATGTTGCATCTACAGAATCCACGAGTTAGATTTTTTTAAAGGAATTTTACGCCGAAAGATCCATTATCATTGATTAATATGTGCTTTTACATACATTTGGACGTAGATAGAAGAGAGGAGTGGGCGGTGGGTGAAGATAGCTGCCTTTACTACTTGGACCGGGTGAAGTGGAAGAAAATGGGTAGAAGATGTATTCCGTATAAGCGTGGTAAAACATTTTAAGTAAAGTCAATATAAAATGTCATATTTTCAAGAACACACACAATAAATAAAATGTCGTTTCTTGAACGATGCAGCCAAAAGATGAATTAATGGCTATAAAGATTTTCAAAACTAAAGCCGATCACACAGAAGGATTTAAGATGGCTTGGAACATCACACTGTCTTGGGAGTGACACACTTCACTTCCCAAATTCAATTTCCTTTCAGCTTTGCCATTTAGGTCTTGCATCCCAGGAGAAGTGGATCCAGCCTCAGGCCCAAGGAGCATTGTTGAGCATACACCGAGGAGGCTTAAATAGATACAGCCTAAATATAGCGCACTGGAGATGGGCTGCAGACAAGAGGAAAGGAACATTGGGCAAGAAATTAAGCAGTAAAATGGACTTCTATTCAAGCTGTTTGATGGCCATTGAAAGCCCCATCTCTGCTTTGCAATTAGAACTCTTACTAAACTCTAATGATGGTGTTTTTGTTGAATAGTACCATAAAAGGGCATGGCATAAAACAAGGAAACTGCACTTAAGATTGTTGCTAAGACTGAAGGAATGCGTGAGAGCCATGCACGCACTTTGTAAACACATCAGGAAACGTATCATGTTGTATCATGGATTAAATCAAGCAGACATCTCAGTGGTTACAAGTTATCAAATGTAATCTCATGTTCTTTCATGTAACACAGGCTTCATGTGCAGTCTGCTCTGCTTTGACAGCACGCGTGGACCAGGAAAAGAGAAACAATGACGCCATTTTTACTCAGCAAGTCTAAAACTATACAAAAGCACATACAATAAATAGATTTTTAGATGAAATAAAAAAAAAACGTACCCAATTATCTTTATCTGGAGACAGCGGCAGCATCAACAGACCCACTTCTTCATCCAACTTGAGAACTCTGAACGTGCCCCCAGAAACTTGTGTGATTGACAGCGCCCTGGTCCAATCACAGAGCAGGTTTATAAAAAGATCCCGCCTATTCGTCCAATGGGAAAGAGCATGGAAAGAATGGGAGCCTGTTCAGCTTCTGCTGTCAGTTGATTGACACTTGCATGTGGTTTTATGTTCAAATGTTTTATCACTTTACTATTTTGTTTCTCAACATTTATATGTGTTTGAGTTTTATTGTGAATTCTATTTCCACTGCTTTTTATCAGTTTTATTTTTAAATGTATTTAGATGTCGTGGAGCACTTTGGGTTACGCTGTATGAATGGGGCTTTATTATCAAATCTGATTGATTTTGATTGATGTCAATTAGAAATATTCCTTTTTTCGGGTCCCAGCTCCTTGTTTCATTCAGCACATGTAATATTTTGTTCATCCTCATCTTTAATCCACCCATAGCATATTATTATCATATTGGTATTTTCAGTTTTAAGTCAGAACATTTTATCTTGCACATAACAAAGGAAATAGTTATAAAGCTTTTAATTAAAAGTTAAATTTTTGGTTTGAAAACTCCAGCTTTAAGATATTTGACAAAGAGGGCGACAGTGGCTCAGTTTGTAGAGCATTGGCCCACTGACAGCTGCCACAGTGGGGCGGCTGCGGCTGTAAAGTGGCAAACTGCCACTGTGTCCTTGAGCAAAACACTTCACCCATTGCCAAGAATGAGTCTAGCGTGTGTGAATGGCACATACTGGTTGCCTCGCTTCTGTCAGTGTGCCCCAGGGCAGCTGTGGCTACAGTATAGTTTATCACCCCCATGTATGGAGTGAAAGAATAATGACATGTGAAGCGTCTTTGAGTGTCCAGAAAGCGTTATATAAAAGTGATGCATTATTAGACTGGTCATGAATAAGTGTAAAAGGTAAAACCGTAAAAACGGAGAGGGATTAGTTTTATTTCACATTTATCATATGGGAGACATACAGTGTGGGATGCCCCTCCTCCAGGACTCTCGTTACAACTTCTATGGTTTTATTTTAGTCTACTTTTGGAAAAATGGTTTAATGTAGACAAAGGTCAAAAAGACATCAAAAAATGTGGTTTTAAACTTTATTTTATTGTATTGCTGATTTCAATGTAGAGTCTGTGTTTCCGAAGAAAAAACCTGTAGAATAAGAGACAGTTTTAATGAAATAGACAAATTATAATAAGCAGACATTTGTTTTTTTAGTTCCACTCTTTACAAACCTGCCAACGATAGGCCACCACTCACTGCACGTGTTCAATAGCTTGTTGCATTGATGAAAAAAAATCCCAAATTCATTTCAGTCCAGAATCTCTTTAATGCACCAGCAGCAGAGCAGGAAATACAGGCACTCTTTGATCGACTGGATGAATCCGTAGGAAAAATTCCCTCCAAGGAAATTCTTGCCCCTGCCCAGTCCTGCAGCCATGTCCCGCAGCTGCTGTCCCAGGGAGGAGGAGGGGGCAGAGGGCATGGCTTGTGGGAGAGGCCGCTGGGGATGCATACTTCCTCAACAAGCAAAAAGCAGAGAATAAAGGTACAATCCAAATCAAGGGGCACTCAGAATGCTTTATAACCTCTCTCACATATCCAGCCTGTTCTACACCGCTCCAAATGCTGAATGATTAAAAATAAAAGAGTGTGTTGGCTTTTACCGAGCGGGAACTGGTTTCTTCTGCTTTAAATAAACTTATTGTAATCCTTGTTTGTTTTGAATCAGCTCAGTTATAGTTCACGCACGTTCAAACAGGCTGTGGGCATTTCCAGCATGTCTCTTTGTCCAGGGCAGTACAGTCACCAAAACTTCTAGCGGATGCTTTGTTCTATCACAAATTTGTCTTTTAAAAGCACAGCAACAATTGGGTCGAGACTGTATTAAAGGGCCAGACAAAACCGGGACTAAAACTGGATTAAAATGGCTACAACTATATTTGCGAAGCTATACAAAAGTGGATATAAATATTGGGATTAAGCTTGCCAAACCACCACATTATGATGAAAGAGCTAAAGATGTACTTTTAGAACAGGCTAACGGCAAACTAGTGTACTCTATGTTTTCAAAACCAACGTATTCACTGACTGAACTTTTCTCAATAGTTTAAATACTCTTGAGAATATAAACTGGGATTTGTTTGCGATTTGTCAATTTGTTCTTCCTAGATTTTGCTAGATTACATTAAATTACATTCTTTTTTTCTCTCCAAAGTAGCACAATACACCAGCAACAAGTCAAGTTATATCATAATATTTCCAGAATCTTTCCGTTATTTGATCATTCCGACGTCATACTTTAAGCATAACCTTGTGAAAGCTACACTCACGCAATTTGTTTTTAACTGCATCGAAAATCGATAAAACTTTCTGAAAAGTAAAGACAAAACAAAACAGAGGCTGATGATACAATGTTTTTATATACGCAATCTATTTTCACTTTTACACTTATCTCCCCCCAAGTATTAAAACACAACATAGTAAAAATCAATATCTGTGCACACAATTTTGAAAGAAACCTTTGGCTTTCAGTAAACAAAATTAAAATGACAACAGCGTTATCAACAATACCACCACCGCCACAGAAACAAGAGCAAGATTTTCATGCATCAAAGGCAGCTGTGATGAACGACACAAGCCCAGGTCACGCATGGAGCAGAGACGGTCCTTTTCAACACCAATACAAACACACACAGACTTTAAACTGAGACAGAACAGAACTTACAGGGCTGTGTGATCAAATGTTTTAGTTATGTCCCAATTCAAATATTATACAGAACAAAAATATATGTGTTATGAATGATCCTGGAATATCGAAGGCAACAAGGCACATTTTTACAGTGTCTTTTACATGTCAAGGTGTTTTCAAGTAATACATTATACTTTAAGTTCCACTGTTGAATATCCCCAATAATAAAATAACAATTAAGTTTCAAACAAAATCAGAATCCACAGCCTTTTACGAGGCTCTGTGTGTTTTTATTGTTTTGTTACTGCATTTCTTGTGTTTACTTTGAACTGTTCCAACGGTTTTGTAAAGTCCTCAGAGATAACTACTGTTGTGATTTAGGGCTATACAAGAATAATGCATTTATATTTTTCAAATTGAGTTATCCGACAAGAATGAACGTGAGTAGAAAATGAGAAAGAGAACATTTGGGATTTTAGTTTTTTTCCCCACACAGCCCTATAGATCCATCCGGTCTGCAAAGTCTGCGGCTGACCCACTGTCTCTGCCATTAAAGTGGGTATGTTGGTTTGACATGTGGATCCAGAGTCTGAATACGGTTTGTCCGTTTGAATCGACTAAAAACCCCATACACTTCCGGACTATTCTTTATACATGCCAGTTTAAAATTGGTAAAAATAAAAACACTTTTCAAGAACCAAAGTTTGTTCTATTTGTGTTGTTTTGGACTCTGATGACTGATAAATGTTACAAATCTCAGAAAAAAAAACATTTTAAATCCTAAAATGTTGTTTCAGTGAAAAGGTGATGTGGGGACTTTTTTTTATTTTATTTACTATTTCAATTCAATAATTTTTGTTCCAAATTTACTCAAATCATTATAAAATAAGTGTTTTGTAGTGTTGATCTGACTGAACTTAAGCGGGACACAGATTTTGTTTAGAGATTTCAAATGTAGGTTATTTCCTTTTTTTAACCAATTGGCTGAAAAAAAATTATAAGTGATCAAATCTGAAGCAAAAAAATTACAAAAAATGACATGTTTTAATGAATGAGGGAGAATGTATCTTGATCAGAGAATATTTGAACAAGAGCAAAGAAGCATTTTCCCGCCATTCCAAGCGACATGTTTTAACATAGCTCCCAAATCAAGACGACTTTCTCTTCTTTGAGCATTGGCACATTCTTCACTTTCTTGCAGTGATGTATGGAAGTGTAAGGGGTCAGGATTCGCCGGGACATGCTCTGTTTTATAATGCACAAAAATGAAGTGTCCAGCGCCAATACGAAGCTAAAAACAGAAAGTTATTTACAAATCATCTGCGAAGTTCACCTTTAACGGTGACATCAAGTATCTGTGGCTGTACGCTGAACGCAGGACGTGCACTGAGTGAGATTGCCATCACGGACTGTTTTTGTTTTTTTAAGGTTTACTGAAGTTTTTGCGTCGTGGTTCTCCTGAAGTGAACAACTGTACATTTGGATTAAGTGCACAAGGCGACTGCATTGGAGTGACTGCATTGAAGAAACAAGGCACAATTACAAAGGATATAAAAACAACATGACTTAAAAAAAAAACACTATGAAAAGTTGTATCCAGTCAAGTTCAATGAATTAATGTATTAGTTTTTTAACGGGCAAACGGAACAGAGCTGCTTCTGAATTCATGAATAAGACGTCCTTATCTTTAATGTTCATATCAAAAAGATGTTAAATTTGAAGATGAAACTCATAAGATTCTAATTTAAAAGACAAGACAGAGTAAGGAAGATTGTATGGAGTGGAGACAGTGGGCCCATAGCTTTGGGATTTTCCTGGAAGAAGCCGTTAAGAGCTAAATTCTCCCATAGCAACCACATAGCAACCAAAAATTCAATGAGGAGCGAGGGGAGTCTTTTCCAGTTTCCAGTATTTTTGAGCCAAAGCTGAATTCAGGGACAGAAGGCACTAGGGGTGTGCTAAAAAAGATTTGTAAAGAAATATTTATTTGGCATCTAGTCATATTGACTTTTTCTTGTTGATAGTTTGACTTTAATAACAATGCATTGTCACTAGATTAAACATAAATGCCTCATTGTATCCTTGTTAAAATGGGAGTGTTAGAAAAGGGGCCATTTTTTTTTTTTTTTTTTTTTACTGAACCGCAACCTATCATTTAGAAATATATGGGTTTGAATTGTATCAAAATTAAAGTTCTAGTTATGTATCATGTTATGAAAATGGAGATACGCATTGGCACAATCTGAAAGATACCCAGCCCTAGAAGGCACCACATTATTTGTCATTTGTTGATTTCCAAGACAACGTTAAAAAAAAAAGGCTGCAATTGTTAGAGCGATAAAACCCGAAGGGAGGTTTTATCAGTACGACACCAACAGCTACGAAGTGACTTTTGCAATCAAAATTAAATTAGCTCTGTCCATTCCTATTATAGTCTTTCTATTTAAATACACAATCCTAATTCATGTATACAATAACCTGTTTGGAGACAACTTTTGACAGTGGAGAGAGAGGGAGAACCGCGAGTGTGTTCTTCCCGCCACACACTTTGTGATTACAGAAAACAGAGGAGCAACATTTGGCTTTGAATCTCGACATTAGCACAAATACTTACGTCAGCTCAGCCAAGCCACATTCATCCATCCAGAGCCTCTAAAGCTAAAACAAAACACCATGATACAGAGTAAACCGTCGCTATGGCATTGTTTGTCATTTTTGCAGAGGAGGTTGAATTGCTTAGACTTTGAAAAATATGAAGTGCTTTGTAAAAATCTATGCCATTTTACTCCAAACTCCCCATGATTTGTACAAATAATCTTCGAAAAAGTTTAACCCAAAGATTGTCAATGCAAACAAATGAGCAATAAAACGTTGGAAAAGGATTCATTTGAAGAAACATTTTTTTTTTTTTTTTTTTAGGGGTTTGAGTTTTTCTTTTTTTATAAGCACCATTTTGTGGAATTTTAAATTTACCAATCTGAAACCCATGGCAAGTATACATTTTACTGAATTAGTATTTTTAAGATTAGCAGGAAGTTTGCGCTTTCTCGAAATTGGATTACCGCCTGAACGGCATCAAAGTGCATATGACTGGATTGAATGATTGCGACTTTAATCATTGGGTTCGTTTTTGCACCAATCAAGCAACTGTTTGAAAATGCAGAGTAGGGCTGCATCATGATTTTAAAGACCTTCTAAAACACCCTTTGTATTTTCTGTCATGAGGTTAGGATAACGTGCAAAAGGTATTATAAGAATTCCAATTTTGGGAAAAAACTTAAACCTGAACGTATAAAAAACAAAATCAATACTATTTAAATGAGTAGTTCATCCTGTCATACGCACTTTGTACAATTTTTTTTTGCAAAACTAATGCAATTGTTGTGTCGTTTTTAGCCGATTATCAAAGATCCTGCGATTAGAAAACATTTTAAATCCAAGAAATAAAGCGTAATGATAGAATTGGCATAGCACTGTCCACTTTGCATACAGGTTAGACTCTACGCCAGCTTTAATCTGGGATCAAAGTACCACAGTCCATAGAACGGGAGTGCTTTTCTGGGTAGAGCGCACTCCTGATTAGATTGGAAGAAATTCACCGATAAACATTCACCAGGCTGTGTCCCAAACAGTCTTTTTAAACAAGCCTTTGGCCTTGTTACCGAGAGCAGTTCTCCGATCAAGAACTCCAAGTCTTTCAACATCTTCTACACAATTCTTCCATGGGATTTGCCTTCAAATCCTTATCGCTCTGAGCACTGCTAAAGCCTCCTCTCTTTTTTCACAGTAGGCTGAAGTTGCAGCGTTGATTCCCACATCTTTAGAATCGGTGGAATGACGGATCGAGTTTTTAAACAAATGGATACATCACAGCAGCAGCGAGAGAATTCTTTTTCTTTTGGACTTTTCTTTGCAGTGCAGGTGGAGATGAGTTGGGAGCGTAGTGTTGCTGTGGGCATGGAAGCAGTGAAGATGCTCTTTGTAGATGTTTTTGGTGAGCGTCAGGTGCTGTCAGGCGGTGTCAGGTGGTGTCAGGTGGTGTCAGGGCTTGCGCTCCACGGGCTGCTGCAGGCACACTTCACTGCCGGCAGAGACGATGGGCAGTCTGTTGTCCATGTGGTAACTGATGAGGTGACTCACGCTCTCGAACCGGTGGTCTTTGGTGCGCACCTGTATCACACAATCATTAAAAAAACACAATCACAGATTTCAGCTCAGATTGACCCTGTGATATTAGCTGTCATAATGCTGTTGTATGATGCTGCAGCTCTTCCTGGCTAGAACCAGGAAGTCCTCTCATAGTAGTCCTGGTCTCCAGTCCCTGACCTGGCTTCATGTACTTCATCAAATTAAATCTGTGACATGTTAGTGCCAAATGAACCAGGGACTGGCCTCCTGCTGGGAGCACTGGGACTGGCCTCCTGCTGGGAGCACTGGGACTGGCCTCCTGCTGGGAGAACAGGGACTGGCCTCCTGCTGGGAGAACAGGGACTGGCCTCCTGCTGGGAGCACTGGGACTGGCCTCCTGCTGGGAGAACAGGGACTGGCCTCCTGCTGGGAGAACAGGGACTGGCCTCCTGCTGGGAGAACAGGGACTGGCCTCCTGCTGGGAGAACAGGGACTGGCCTCCTGCTGGGAGCACTGGGACTGGCCTCCTGCTGGGAGAACAGGGACTGGCCTCCTGCTGGGAGAACAGGGACTGGCCTCCTGCTGGGAGCACTGGGACTGGCCTCCTGCTGGGAGAACAGGGACTGGCCTCCTGCTGGGAGCACAGGGACTGGCCTCCTGCTGGGAGCACAGGGACTGGCCTCCTGCTGGGAGCACTGGGACTGGCCTCCTGCTGGGAGCACTGGGACTGGCCTCCTGCTGGGACATTGAAGAGCAATGGGAGCGACCCACACAGCTTTATTTTCCCCTTCACTAAAAAGTTCTGCGCCAGGAGTGAGTTTACAGACATGGAGCACTCTCTGCTCTATGTAGAATCCTGACTATCATAAAAAGTGAAGGTGATATTCTTGTATTGAGTAACCAGAGTTCAAATGTTAAATAAAAAATGAACAGAACTTAACTGATTCCTTTCTCTCATCGTTAGCTGTTGTATATATCTGAGCTGAAGCCACACACTGCATGAATACAATCATGAACCCTCTATTCACTTTGAAAACCACAGTCGGACTCACCACTCCCTCGGGGTCGACCAGCAGCAGGTGTTTGGGCTGGCCTCCCTGCTGTCCCGTCAGGACGTACTGTCCTGGTGTGGTCCCAGACTCTCGCACCAGGAAGTCCCCATCCCTGCTCAGCAGCCGCTCGGCCTCTCTGCGGGTCAAGCTGCCGTGGAACCAGGCCTCGCACTGCAGCTGCTCCACCAGAGGGGGCGCTGCGGAGGAGGGGTGTCCAGCGACGCCCAAAGCATCGTCGAAAGGCTCTGGAAAGTCAGGATCGTTGTGTGAAGAAACGTAACAAGCTACAACGAAGCATGACATTCCTTATAAGAGCAATGTATCGGCTCCAGATTGGTTTTTGTTTTGTGATGGTAACATTGTGAATTTTATCAAACATGCACTCAAGAGCCTTCCGGGAGGAGGATCCACCTCAATGTTCCACAAAGTGCCAAAAATTCCCCATCTACATTTGAAACAAGCAACTTCACTTGGCTGGGTAACAAGTCATATCTGCAGGGAGGAGAGCCAAACCATACTAAAGATACACAAACCTACAACTAACCTAATCATTTTGACATATTTAGTAAAAAGACCAAAATGTCCAAGATAATAATTTCCATAATTACAGATATTGTCATGTTAAAAATAAAACATTGGACTATATTTTCCACTTTCCATAATGAACAAAGGTACAGTAATGCCCTTATCTGCTTTTTAAGCCCGTCTCCGGTGCGCAGCTTTGCTCTTCAATCAGCCTTGTTAATTAGCCCTGTAGAACGCTCAATATGCCCTCCTTCTAATCACTGACCACATGAGAAAATTAATTTATTATAGAAATAACGTCACGCACTATATAACATTTAACCCCAACACAAATCTGTCATAGAAAATTCAATTAGACCCCAGTGACGGTGAGCCGCATGCTGATCAGGCCGCCTTTCATTCTCCTTTGCACGCGGGTATTGCTTTGAAAGTGGTTCCGGGCAATTTCTTTTAAATTATGACAGTGTTTAACCACGTACTCATGTCAAAAGCGTCTCTGTGTGCGTTTCCATTGGCCGCGGCTGCAGAGCGAGGTTTGTCCACGTTCACGTACGAAGGGTCGTCGAAAAGCCCGCCTTCTTTGGCCCCAGCTGAAAGAAACAAAACATGGCATTTTTATAGATGTTTATGGTCGCTGGGTTACAACTAGTGAGGGCAGGTCCCGGCTCAAAGGTCCGTGAGCATGTGCGCTGACTCCCTGCCGGTGGTGTCGTACCCGAAAACAGAATTATCCACTAGATTCTTAAGGGGCCTTTCATCCTCTCGAAAACTGCTTTACAGGATGGTCCAAAAGTCGGCTATTCTCTCAAGGCTACGTTCAATGATGAGGGGAGGGAAGTTATTCTTTCTGGACCAGCCTAGTTTAGCCGCTGTGGACTTTTGAATGCACTCGTTAAATGAAAGGACATGTGTAAGGCAAATGCGTTTTTTTCATATATTTATGGAGTGTCCCAATAAGCAGAGAATGGACCATCTAATTAAAAGATTCCTGAAACATAGATTCAAATGGAGGCTGGTTTTAGCATGCTAAAGAAGTCCAGTGCATTTGTAGAGTTTCAAGCAGCTGTAAAGGGATGAAAGATGAATGTTTTCTATTACTAATTCATAATTGTAAATCATGTTTGAATTTAAAAAAAGAAAAATGTAATTTCTCACTCTGGTGGTGCTTTCAGACCGGATCATGCGTTGCGTCGGGTTTCAATGCAAAGTCTATGGTGGCGCGTGTTCGACCGTCACAACGCACGGACCTCTCGGCACGCACGAACGGACTGTTCAATAATGACGCACGGACTTGGCGGGAAAGTGAAAAGGGAGGAGCAGGAGCGAAAAATCAACGCCCACAGGAGATGGATTCTGCTCATCCTTTCCTTGGGACGTTTGTGCGACAACCAATCAGAGAGCAGCAAAGTGGTCACGGGGACTTTAGTGGACTGAGCGAGCAGACTGAAAATACTCGTAAACAGCCAAAACAGGACCCACACCAGGCTTCACCAGAACTCAAACCAGGGTTGACAATGGGGGACTGTGTGCTTGTGAAAATATGCGTTGTCATGCTCCCGTGACCTTATGCAACTGCTTTGAGTGTGTTCACCGATGCGGAAATACCGTTTAATAATATGAAAACACGTATGGCGCACCTCCGTGAACACATATTACTGTTATATAAAGCCCGTGGAATGTATGTGAGCAAAGACACGCTGCAAAGCTGCATATTGGAGAAGATCTGTACACAAGAAGCCGCTAGCATAGCTCTGTTAGCATTAGAGCCGGCCGACTACTTCCGGTACTTCCGGCTCGCGTCATGACGTTCTGGCGTGAAGTCCTCTGCGTCTGAAAACTAGAGAATGCGCGTCTGGTGAGCGGGGCTTCAGCGTTTCAGCGTTTGCGGTCTGAATGCCCCATTAAACATGTTGTCTCTTACTGATTAATAATGGTAAATCATGTTATATTTCCGCACTCTGAAGGTCGCATAGAGAATTAGTTACCCATTATATGTCCATCCATCCATCCATTTTCTTCCCCTTAATCCATTACTGGGTCGGGGGGGTGGCAGTCAGAGCTGCACCCAGTACACAGAGCACCAGCCCCTCACTGATCCTCCTGCAGGTGGTGAGTTCACAGGAGCTGAGATCTTTCAGTGGGGGCTTTGGGCAAAGTAGGGTTAAGTGTCTTGCCCAAGGACACAACGGCAGCAGTCATCAGTGAGAGTCATCAGTGAGAGTCGTGAAGTAGGGTGGGCTCGAACCCACGACCTTCAGGCCCAAAGTCCCAAAAGCCTTGCCATATTGCACGGTGGTAACAACGGCTGCCATCCACAGACTTTTTTTTCAGACACAAAACTAAAGCGAGTGAACTTTGGGACATTAAACATTAGTTCACTGAGGTTATTTTCTCAGTGATGGTGTGTTGTTTTGGACATATATGAGGCATTATGACGCACTTAACTGCGCAGACACACATTATATATTGGCCCATTTATTTGTTTATTTCACTTGTTGTCCTGGTTGTTAGTAATTTTTTGTTCAGTAGCAGATTATAAATAAACGCAGCGCCAATAACTTTAAATAGAACTGGTGGTTAATGTCAGCTGTGAAGATTTTTCTACACCATTTTTCTACACCTAATTTTACCATCAATAAATCTACATCTTGGAGATACTGCACGGCCTCGTGCTGAACTTTTGCCTCTGATGTGTCAATCCACTGATCCCACAGATGTAGCAAAGGTTGTCAATGTTCGCAAATGAGAATCTAAACTCCGGCCACGCCTCTCTGACCTCATGGAGGGCTGAAATCTGGCTAAAAATCCTGTCTTCTGTGGCCAGCTCTAGTCGTAGAGATCCTCCTGGTAACACAGCAGCCTGTTGCTAAAGTCCAGATCACTGAGACAGAACACTCTGTACCTGGGAGAGGTGGAAGGGGATGTTTGTAGATGTCACTCTGACCCGGCTGTCCGTACGGCTGCAAACACAAGACAATCGCGTTCAGCAAACACAAAGACATTTTGATCACATGGCCTGACAGCGTTTCATCCTAAACCAGAAGAGAAGCAAACATGTCTTGAATATGTCTGCAATCACTGTGTCTGTGTGAAATCCGATGATCCTCTGTGAAAAAAGAGAACAAAGTCGCCTCAGAATTGCCTCAAACAACTCTGTGGGTTTTTCCAGTGTCAAAGGCATAGTTGATGTTAGGGAGATTTTTCGCCGCAATAATACAATGGGGAAATTGTTGATCCGTTGTTTTTGTTCGAGGTTTTAAAACAAAAGCAGTGCATTTTCAATGAGTGACCCCGCTTCTGTTTTTGACATATTTACTTATATATTTAAGAGAACACAAACCTGGATAAAGGACAATGGGAATATAGATAACCTCATTGTTTTGGGTGAACCGTTGGATAGTATGTGTGTATGTATGAATGTAATTACTTTCATATTTAGTGTTCTAGTTAGTAAATAATGCGCGACCACAGCATTCAAAGCATAAATATACTGTAGATATTTTCTTGCGTGAAAAAGCTGCTTATGGAATCAATCTTTTATTTGTAGTATGTTTACGATGCACTATTTCAGTTGATACTCAACATTTGATCAATCAAACTTTATTTCATACAACAAGGTTTTGCTGTTGCTTTATTTTCAATATTAAAATAATTCAATATTATAATAATTCCATATTACAGCAGCCTTGGCACTTACCAGCGTGGCCCCTGGGCGCGTCCTCATGTCGATCAGTCCACCAGGGGGAGGCTGTTTCCCAGGAAAGTTGTTGTAGTATGGGACATCGGGAGGAGGAGGAGGAGCCACCTCTTCGTCCTCTTCCTCCCAGGCCGAGCCATCGAAAGGGGCCATTCTATAAACACACAACAGCTGTTTTCAGACTTCTCACAGCAAAGCCACTTCACCTAATGATGGGGTCGGTGAGAAGTCCAACTGTTTGGAACAAAACCAGACCTGTTTAGGAGTGAATACCCTTTAGATAAAAAAAATACTTACACACTTCCATGTTCTCGAATTCTACTTCATTATTTGATAGTGATAATAATAATAAGCCGTGTTTGTAAATCTTATGATCAGCTGACCAACATACAGTACATATACAGTTCAGTACAAGTAGCATTAAGTGAATAAAACTGTCCTTTACTGTGATTATGTATGATGACTTGTTTTGTTCAGCACTTGCGTTGCCTTGTGTATGAACTGTGCTAGACAAATATAAATAATTGCAAGGCAATGAAAGTTTATTATAAATCAAAGACCAAGAAGAAAGAGGAATTTCAGCTTCCTGTAACATGCATCTCCCACTGCTCTTTCATTTGATGCATTTCAAGTACTTTATAGTGTAATAACTTAAAAGTGTGAAAAATAAGTTCAAAATTGCTCATATTTAGCTAAATGTATCTTAAATCTGAGCACATTTTGACTGGCCTACAATAAGATTTTCCAATGGGACACACAGAATTATCTTGTCTTAAAAAGATACAAGAAATATTTTGCATGGAATGAGAACTACTAAAGCAACAGTTCTTGAAATGATAAAAAATGGCTTTGTCCCTTTGGCAAATCTTGTTTAAAGACAGTCAGAATCTGCTCAAACTAAGATATAAACCACTTCAATCAAGCAATTATTACTTATTGTTATCATTTGCGCAACGTTGACATTGAAATTTCCCCACAGTGGGAAAAATAAAGGTCTAGGTTATATTTTTTTTTCAGAGTTATGAACCAACACAAAGGTAAAGCGAATGTGTTGTTGCTAGCGTACCTGTCGTGTGGAGTGACCAGTTTGGGTGGATTCTTCAGGTACTGTTTGAAGCGCAGTTCGAAGGCCTGACCGATGGTGCTGATGACCTCCTGGGCCAAACCCTCCGAACACTCCAGGATGTGACACGCTGAAACGCAACAGAGACTGAACACAGCTGCAGCCTGAGTCACAGCCCAGGGATTTATGAGAACAGCAAATTCATCCCGGCAATTAGCTTTGGAGCAGATCTGTTCTTTCAATTCAACTGGGTCGCTTAGAATAGCATGCGTAAGTAGAGTTCTGAAGCGAAGGGAAAATAAATAAAAACCATGGCAACCTCTCTACACCCACTGTTCTCTTTTCTGTCTTTACAAAATGACAAGATCGAGGTCGCCTTTCATACACTGTAGGAAGATTTTATCATATGCACACAAGGTTACCATAGTGATTATTTCAAGAAAAATGATTATGCATTATCTGTGTTTATTTTGGTCCTTAATACCTTTTTTCTCCATATATAATACCCAACAGAAAGAGTCTTGTAATAGTAATACTTTGGGAACCAATCAGGCCACAACATCTTATAAAAAAACACATATTTATAAGCCCTGTGAGTCAGTATTTGATGGTTTTGGATGAGAGCTGATTGGCTGAGTGATGTCGACAGAGTGGAGGAACGAAGCTAAAAACATGTTGATGAGGAAACAATGTTGTAACATGGTGAACAGCTAATAATAACGGCTTATTAACCGAGCGAGAGGTCTGTATGGAGAAATATCAGACCGCGGCCTTAATGTACAGACCGAGCCGTGGCGAGGTCTGTGCAAAAAGGCCAAGGTCTGATATTTCTCTGTACAGACCGAGCAAGCAAGGTTAATAAATGTTTTATTATATGACTCTCGTCTGTGTCTTTACCAATGCTTTTGAGATATTTGTGAAGTATGTTCATGTCAGACTTGGTTTTGTGTGATACGCGCTGCGGACTGATTGTCATGGTAACGGTCGCAGGAAAGATATCAAATGTGATACGCGCTGTTCGGACCAATTGTCATGGTAAAGGTCCGAGATGGGAAAATATCAGACCGGTAATCAGCCAATCAGAGCGCGCGGTCCAAGTCATATAATAAGTGTCCTTATACATCTGTCAGAAAATTATAACTTTCAGAAAATGCAAGCAAAACAAAGGCTAACCAACTAATGCTAATATATGTGGTAACTCACTATTATTCCTAAAACACATTTCTAACTTTCAAATAGTTAATAAATCTTTCACAATCTAGATATGGGTTCCGAGGTTCAACACTGACCCAACCACTGCACCTGAACAGTTTCCAATTGTAAGATAATGCTCAGTTTCATAAAGTAAAACTGCCTATAAGTCTACATTAAAAAGTTTCTCTGTGATTTGTTCTATTTGAGTTGTACAGATTTTCATGTTGTGTTTTGTATCTGCCCTGGATCTATGTTTGTGTACCTGTTTATGTATGTTGAGATGTGTATTAGTAGATACTAAAACATTGTAATAGTTGTGGTTGTGAATCTCACCTCGCTGGTTGACTGGATCTTTGGCCACATATGCTACATACTCAGCAGTATCCTTAAAGAAACACAATGTAAACAGTCAGAGAAAGTCACAGGGAAAAATCTATAGCAGGAACAATTCAAGAACAGGATTAGAAAAGGAAAGCTGATAAGTATTTGAGACATTCCGGAAGTTGATCTAAGGAATCGTCTGAGTCGTAATGAGATCATGCATGTGCGAGAAAGGCACCAGTGAGTACGCACTGAGTGGTATTCATAGGAACAGACAATGACAGAAGACAGGAAGGAAGTTAAGAAGGCCGAGGAGAGATGGAAAGAAGCCAGAGGCCGGGTCCCGTTTCTGTGCACTCCCCCGCTGCAGGTCACGGCAAAAATATCTGTCACAATGACTTGAATTCCAAGTATTATTCTAGATGTTTATGTTTCTGACTAGTGTAAGTTTAATTGCTTGTATTTATTCAGAATTTGTAATTAGTTTGATGATTATGAAAAATAATACAATATGGCCGTTTTTATCTTTATAAATGTTTTACAGACTAGAACTGTGACTCAGGATTCTAATAGTGGGTTGACCACTATTTCAAATGTATAGATATTCATTCTATGTTGACACAACGCCGCTCTATTGGCATGTGCTTTAGGGTATATTCATTCTTGTTAATAATTATAGTTGAATAACTATAGAATTATTATTGTTAGTCAACTGGCAAAAAGAATGGGACAACAAACTATGAACAGAATATTCAGTCATATAAATGTAGATCCATTATTTTATTATATGCAGGAAGAAAGCAGAAAACACTACATTAAAAGTCCATCAGTAATCAACATAGAAGATGTCCGTTTAGATCCTTTCTGGACTTTTTACGAATTTTCTTTTTCTAGGGACGGATGTAGAGAAGATAACAAAGTAAAATTTAGTTTGGTATGATACCGTACCATACCAAAAAGTATAATAATCTACTTTCATCAAGTAAATAAAGCTACAACATTCTAAACTAAACTCTGAATTCAAGTCATATTAAAAAGACACTTTGCTTTAGCCTCCAGAGGAAGCATTGTTTGTAGAAGGAGGTGGATTGACAGCTGATGAGTGAGTAAGTGGAGTGAACAGAAGTGGGAGGCGGGGACAGAGAGCACAGAGAAAGGTCCGGGTGACTCACGGGATCTCCTCCAGAGGCAAAGGAGATGGACTGCATGTGATGGTTGGCGATTATCTGTGAAGAGAGGGGAGGGGATGAAGTGTGCGGGATGTGAGATGAGTCCATGTGAATGATAACGTAAAACAATGTGATCAAACTTGCCTCAACAGGCATGTTTTGGCCTGTGGCGCCAATTACACACACAAAATAACCTTTATTCGTCCTACAGTGGGGTAATTTCAATGTCATTGCACCTTACAGGATCACACAAAGTGTATTCAGCTGTGCATGTATTTTTGTTACAATGGGCAAAGCATCAGGTATGGGGCCAAAAGCCTTGAATTCTATCATTCATTCATTATCATCCTCTTTATTAGTCTCATTCCGGATCAGGGGGTGGCAATCAGAGCTGCCACCCAATTCTCAAAGCACCAGCTCCTTTTTGATCCTCCTGCAGGTGGTGGGTCCACAGGAACTTGGCTGCTCCGTCACCTACACCACAGCCTTTGTCTTTCAGCGAGGGCCTCAGGCAAAGTGGGGACACAACGACAGCTGAAGTCAAGGTGAGCAGGTGACATGAGTTGAGGGACCAATGCTCGACCGACTGAGCCACTGTCGCTCCCAAAATCTATAATATTGTATCGGCAGCTCTGAAAGATACTGCTTATACTAGAAACATTCAAAGTTTGGCGCAAGAAGAAAATGTACTGTGCTTGAAATAAAACTATTGCTTGTTCCATTGGCAAATCCTGTTTTTTAAAACAATCAAATTATACACGGTCGGGCAGCCTGGTGGTGCAGTGGTTACCACTTGTGCTTTACAGCAAGGGTTCGATTCCACCTTCAGATTCCAGCCTTTCTAGGAGTTTGCAATCCCCATTCTCTGAGAAGGTTTCCTTTGGTTTCTCCTACCACTAAAAACTATGGCTGTCAAAAGCGTCAACGCACGTTTATTAAATTTTCCATTAATTCTTCAGAATGTCACGGACACATGCCAACAGAGCAGGCAGGCCCTCTGAGAATTCAAGTTTTAAAAGAATATGTGCGTGGCCGTGGGGCACTTGCTGTTGTTTGCTGTATGTACTGAAGTCCGCCTCCTCCGTGGCCGCAGCATTCTGACCCGGGGCAGCTGCGGCCGCTCTGAACAGAGGTTCCCACCTCCAGCAGCTGTGAGCCGCAAACAACAACACAGCAAATGGCGCAGGTAAAGCCTGGTTCACACGGCAAGATAATTAGGCCGATTTTGGACCCGATTTACCCCTACGACAATCGTAAGAACGCTCCGAATATCGTTAAAAAAAAATCTGATGGATTTTCCTGCCGTGTGTGGTGTGTTAAGACTGTGCTCGTCGCTCGGAAGGACTTCGGGACTGCTCCGATCTCAATATCGGGGATATCCAACATGTTGGATTGTTTTGGCCCGATTTCTCTTTGTGTGTGGTGTCCCCCGGGGACAGATGAGCGCGTTGCCATGACTGCGGCGTGTAGCCAATCAGAAGACGAGACGAGCGGCGGGAGGAAACACCGTAAAAAAACCAAAACAGTCAGCGGCATGGCGCACCAGAAAGTTCGGTGGACATCAGAGATGGAGGAACAACTAGTTCACCTCTGGCAACACCGTGAATGTATGTATGACGTGTTGTGTAAAGAATATCATCACCAAAATGACAAGGAGAGGAATTGGGCAGAAATTGCTGCTGCACAGGTAGTGTTGGCATAAGCCCTATTCGGACGGGATTAGTACTAAATGATCAGACTGATGGGTTGTGTTTGTACGTTTACTTTGCACTCTGTCCTAATACAGTACAGACGTGTTGATGCAGCCGTGCTTGTTGGTTTGCGCGTATGTAAAGTTTCATGTCTAGCAGTGTGTGTGATGCGTTCACAGGTAGTCCGTACAAACTGTATTGTTGAACAGCACAGACAGTACGGGCCAGAGAACTGTAGAGCAGTAAAATCCACATGTATGTGTTTGTCCTCATGGTGTCTGTGGCTGCTGTGGTCAGACGAGAGTCTCTATAGGCTGCGTGAAGCGGAGAGGCCCGCACACTCTGTTTACTCTGAAGTCACGCTTGATCTCGAGAGATGTTGTGAGATTTCCGGTGACCTGTGAATGCTCGGGGGTGAAATCGGTTCGTGTGTGATGTGTGTGGTTTGCGTGATTTTGCCGTGTGGCAGCGCACCACACATTGTAAGACCAAAGTGGTTAGAATCGTCTTGTGTGAACTAGGCTTAACGTGGTCATATCCAAGACTACAATCCGGAGAGGTGTGTTCATTTAAAATACTGAAAAACACACTCTCATAAGTTGTTTTACAGTTTGTACAGACAATGAATGAGACAATCAATATCAACACTTGCAAATGGACCAGCAGTGTGGGCTGAATCTGACTCTGCTTTTGTGAATGGGTTTTTGAGAGTAGTGAGTAGCGTGTTTGGCGGCACTGAGCCGTGTGTAGACCATATAGAATCTTCCCACAGAAATATAGATCGTTCAGCAGCTATTAACTCATTAGAGGCCCAGCAGGAGGAGGATCAAGTGGAGCCCCAGGCGATTCAACCATGACCATAATGCTTAAAAGGAATTTGTGCAGCATCAAAGGCAGATCAGGCAAACAACAAAATGGCAAGTTTAAATTTAGATCAATCCTTTCAAAGCACTGGACAAAATCAAACAATAGGAGCGCATGGCATTACAGATAATATTCAAAATCTGTATCTCAATGGGACTTCCTGTTTAAGTAAAGATTAATACATTCATAAGTCCCGGGTCGAATATCTGTCAACGGGAAAACACAGGTTTCATACATCTTTCTCATAATGTATGCAAGCAAAAACTGACAATAAAGAAGGTTGTGAGAAAATATTCAATCGTTTATATATATTTCACATTTTTGCAGTGAATATTTTATTTCAACTAGAGAAAAAATGGTTGTATAACTTAGTCCTCTATGGGTATTTTCTGAAACGTGTGGGAATTGTGTATGAAGTACTTAGTGTTTATATCATGGATGCATTATAATATCGGGTTAGGGTGTTACTAGCTTGGAGCTGAAGGACCCAAGTGCTCGGGGATATCTCGCGGTACTGCAGACTAAAAAAAAACTCAATGTAAACTAAAACTCAATGTAAACTAAAACAGCTCGACCTCAGCTGACAGAGAACCTACAGCTTTCAAAAAGGTAAGCAAGTAAATATTAAGTAAGCAATCTTTATTCATATACCGCCTTTCACAGACCAGAGTCACAAAGCGGTTTACAATTGTGGGCATTTATCTCTCACTCCACACAGAGATGGAAGTGAAGTCGACCTCTTGTATATGTGTTTAGTGGTAGGGGAGACCGGAGCACCCGGAGGAAACCTAAGACACGGGGAGAACATGCAGACTCCACTCAGAAAGGCCCTGCTCCGACCGAGATTCGAACCCAGGACCTTCTTGTTAAGGAGCGAGAGTGCTATCCACTCAGCCACCGTGCCCTCCTGCATCGGCAAGGAAAAACTCTAAAAACCCAGTGGGAGAAAAAAATTACCTGAAGCACATATATCAGACGCACATATATACCAGAAGCACATATACCAGACGCACATATACCAGAAGCACACATACCAGAAGCACATATACCAGAAGCACATATACCAGAAGCACATACACCAGACGCACATACACCAGACGCACATACACCAGACGCACATACACCAGACGCACATACACCAGAGGCACATACACCAGAGGCACATACACCAGAGGCACATACACCAGAGGCACATAAACCAGTGGAGTTGTGTCTGACCTGTTTGCAGTCGGCCGCCAGCAGGTTGAGGCTGCTGGTGGAGATGGTGAGGCTGATTGTCATTCCGGCAAACTGCAGGTTACTCTTTCCGAGGATGGAGGACAGGCAGCGAGAAGACGGCTGAGGAGAGACAAATATACATTTCAATTAAACAAATATGAAAGATCGGTTAGAAAAACATGATTCCAATAGACCTACAATGCCAATAATAGATGTATTTAAATCAAAGTGTGAGGTAAAATCAGATTTTTTTTTCTTATCCGAATGTGTTCATTGTTGCAAGTGCAACTTAATTAACGTCTAAGAATATATTTTTTTCTTGCTTCATGCAATAATCTTGCTTATTGGTAAATTATGATACATGTCAAATAGACTATAATGACAAACTTGATTTTGAGACTAATAAAAAGGTTGAGGTTTAACTAATAATAATACTATAATATATACTAATAACAATATCATACCAGTATAGTGCTGTTTAAGGTAACACCATGTTTTTACTGATATACATCAAAATGTTTATTTAGATTATTTCTAAAATTAGTATCAAGTTTCAATTTCAATAACTGATTTTGAATACTTCTGACAACCTGAAAGTCAAGTAAAATTGGCTCAAAATATGTTTTTAATTCAAGGGTTGTGCCTGAACAGTGGAACAATGTGTCTAGGCCTAGGCCCTAGGGTAACTGCAGCCGTTCAAAATCATTATGTAACACATTTTCCTGTTTTTGCAATGTTTAGTTATACATTAGGAATTGTGATCGTACATCAGTTGCATCACTTCCTCATATCTGAAGCGCAGTGCTTCTAGCAGCAGCACCTGAACGGCCTAAAAATAACGTCACCAAGATCTGGAGATACAACTCTAACATGGTGCCACTTTAACAGTTAAGATGAGTGACTACTACAAATATGCGTGTGTGGAAATGCCTTTGTGTGGGGGAGTGGGAGAACAGCTGCAATTGTGAAAGTAATCTCGTCTTCAAGGCCAACTGTGCCCGCAGAGGGGACGGGACAGTGCCAACAGCATGGGTCAGATAGCAGCCTGTCAGTGCCAGCTTCAGCCCCGCTGGCCAGACTCCATTTCTGCTCTTAGATAAAGTACTTTGTGACAATCAGCATCAGCAGGGAGACATCACTGCCAGATAGGGTTGAAACGTTACAGCAAAATATATAAATAAGATCTTTCTGGCAAGCAGATGATTGGCTCTTTGCTTGCTTGGTAGTTGCTATCTGAGAGTTTGCCAAAAATATCAAAAGGTAGTTCTTACCTAAAAAAACACTCTAGTACATGCCATAGAAAATAATAACTCATAGTATAATAATAATTCATAACTAAATAAATAGTTTTTGATTAGTTCACTTCCATATACACAAGTATGCTATAAGTGAGAATTATTTTGGAATAGACAAGGGAAAATCTACTAATGTTTCTGTAAAAAAGTTTTGAAACCAGTGAAACAAGCAAAACAAATTATCTTTAAGGCTATTATTTTATACATTCATCTATAATAAAAGACTGAAAAATCCACTTTTGTACAACTTTTACAAGTTTATTTACAATAACCCTATGCATTTAGAAATCTTAACTTGCAAACTACAAAGTGCTTGGGATGACCTTGGTCTGAAAAAATGCACTCTATAAATGAAGATGACTTACTTATAAGTTAAACGTTTTCCTTAAAACAAATGTAATTTATGTTATATAATCATAACCACTGTGCATTTGATTTGATTTTGATATAATATACTGTATCTCAGTCTACCTAAAATCAGACAAACTAGACATGTCCCGTCTATTCTCGTCCGGGCCTGTGCTTCCAGACATTCCTCAGTCAAACCAGAGAAAAGCAGCAGTGTTGCCGTTCGGGCTTTAACAGCTGTTTTATGGACTGTTTGGGTGGATGTTTTTAGCTTCACAGAAATATGGTCCCAAAGCCCTCTGGCAGCCTTGCCCGCTAATCTACTGTCCAGTGCTCCAATGGGCCGGCTCCACACAAGCTAGCACTCTGCGTCTTAAGCCTCCCCTGTGACACTACAGGAGGGAAAAGGGAGAAGTGAGTGATTGGTAATTACCTGCAAGTAGCTGGCTAACCACATCAGAGCACACGATCGCGGCCGTCGTTTGTGTGTGTGTGGCGTCAGGGTGACAGTATAGCCAGCTGACCACAGAATGGATAATCAAACTAAATTCAGCCCTTGTGCACAGGCTCTTTCCACTGCTGCCCACTTAAAGAGTATAAATAAGTAATGGCGCCAAAGGCCGTGCGTGTGACGTTTACCTTCCTCCTGCGCTGGGCTCCTTTTGCTCCGGGAACGGCTTCACACACCACTGAGATGGCCTCCCTGAAAGAGTTGAAGAGTTGAAGAGTAGTTTGTCACAAAACATATCCCACACGTATCAATCATTTTTGCAATGATTTCTCTTTCATTAGTCCGTTCGATCTCTCAAGGTGCACAATGATGTGTAACTTCTCTGGTTTGTTGCCCGCCAACTGCATGTGGACATTTTCTCTGCTTGGCATGTTCCGCAGAGTGGTCTTGAACTCTGATTTGCTGCAATTATTATGTTTTAGTGTCTGTATTTTTGTGTCCTGTCCACACTGATACAATTGTTTACAGTTAAGACTATCCTTCCACAGATCTGGTTCATTTTCTAAGAATAGGGGTTCGTCCTCTGCATTTGACTCATGCTCTACAGGTGCTTTTCTAAGTTCTGTGTTTATAATGGATGGAGAAATCACAAAATTAAGAGGAAAACAATTCATGTTTATCCCAGCTATAATGAGTAAAGTTAAAGGCAAAAGACAAGCAGGTTCCTTCCAGAGAAATCAAGGAAGTTTAATTTAAAAGTCTCTCACTCCGTTTTAGGATTATAATCACGAGGATTAAATGAGATCTTGTGGCAAATGACTAACTTTATTGTGCTTGGTAACAGCCCCAACCGTAATGACTCCCACCACTCCGGAAAACACAGGGAAACCACCAGGATTGCAAATGTTCTGAATCACACACTGGCACTGCGGAGTGGCAGACATGCACACGCACGTATGTGTCAGACATAGATTACTTTTCACAGCAGCCAACGCTTTGAAATTGAAATAGAGAACAAGCAGTTTTCAGTCTCAATTCTCTGTAGATTTTCGGGTTGAGAGTTCTCATTAGTACAATGAGTCTACCAGGGGAAAAAAATGTCTTAGATATTACCATGGAGTGTAATAATAATTTACATATATTAAAAATATTGCAAAATTGTTAAAATAAGTTAAAAAATCTCCAACTCATAACAATGCCTTGACAATAATATAGTTTTGGTCCTAGTTATTGTATTAATTATATGGAAATATTGGTTAATATATATATATATATATATATATATACACACACACAGTATAAATATATATGTATTTGTTTACATGAAAGAATAGCACAGGATAAATACTTTTTCAAAGAAATTTAAGATAAAGGAAGTACAGAGAAGAATTGGTCAAACGGTGTGATGTCTTTGTCCCACACTGGTCAGAGGAGACTTTACCTGGTGACCTGTGTCCTGGTGTTGAAGTCTAAGGCGCGCATGGACTGAAGCACCTCCACACAGCCCATGTACTGCAGGAAACAGGAAAATGACACGTTAGAAAACAATACTTCCTACATGGAACACAGAGTTTCTGAAAAGGACTCCTGGGGCAGATAAAGTGGAGAGAGACAACATATTTTCTCATGCTCCAGTCAGGGACATTACAGGTCAGGGACACAGAGGATTATTTTAAACATTGTGGTTGCTTTGGCCTCATTGTACATAAATGCTACATTTTTATGACATTTCCAATCATCAAGGTTTTTGACTGGTCTGAACTTATCCAAATAGTTATGAATTTTTGTGAATTTATTTATAATTTTGTGAATACTGAAAAACCAATAATATCTTAAGCCACGTACAGTATAATGTAATGTATTGAATGCTAAGGCACTCCCCGACACCCCCGACACCTTTAGTAAGAATAAAGTAGGTTTTGTTTTTTGTTTAATGAAGTAATAGATTAAATTGCTAAAAAATAATAAACATTTGATTAATACTTGCCAAAGCTGTGTCAAAAAAAAAAAAATTCAATATCTCAATCTAATATTTTTTATCAGCTATTTATCTCACTCGCTCACTCACGGTCCTCACCCTTTCTTTATGATTAATAAGAAACTATGAAGCATAGATAAATAGGTTTGGCTACATAAATATTTGTTTTGTCATACCAATAATTTAGCTTGGTTTAAGAATTTTCAAAAATCCATTTGGAAATCGAGATTGGTCCCACATGTTTGAGGGTGAGGAACTAGTTAGATACATTTTATTACAACATTTTTTGTGGTTTCCAAGTTAGGCACTCCAGCTTTAAATTATTCATCCGTCCATACTATTTTTAGCTTGTGAGGATGTTGGATGTTTTGAGCTCATGTTTTGACTGGGCTTCTTACCCGTACACTGTAGGAGACGCCGGCGCTGCTGACCACATTGTCGGAGTGCAGCCAGCCGCGGGTGGGCTTGTTGACAAAGGAGCCGTGGCGCGTCCACTCGTCTCCTCCGAGCTGCCCTCCTTCCACGCGGGCGCGCCTGGACGCCACTCCCAGCCGGTTCATGTCCTGCACAGGGGGGCGAGGAGGGGGACATGGGGCGGTTAGCACTGGGACAGGGAGGTGAGGAGAACTGCCTCTGCCCTCCCCTGCAGGCAGCACAGGTGCAGGGGGGAGGGTCTGAGGTCTGCCCACGGCCCGCAGACCAGGGAGCAGAGTGGCAGAGACGCCCAGGCGCAGAGAGCTCATCCTGGGGAAGAAGGAGCACAATGTGGTGGGGCTGTTCTCGGCTGGGCGTGGGGACACTGGCGGCAGCATCGGTGTGAGAGAGGAGGAGGACAGCGAGGAGGGCAAACCTGGAGACGGAGTGAGGGGTGAGGTCGGGCTGGAGGCAGGGAACGGCGATGGATTTGAGTTGGTTTCATCCGTGGAGCTCAGAGATTCACTGCGAAAGTGGGTGTACTTGGATTTTGAGACAAGCTCCATTATGAATGTGCACTGTCAGTTCCTGTATTCATGAGAATCCACAGCAGAGCTAGTCATTAATAAGTTTCACCTTCACTTTAAAAGTTTTTCTTGAGAAAAATGGATTGCCGTCTGCTTTTGGGGCTGAGAGCAACAGACACATCCATCTGTCTGGCTATGACTTCGCTGCTCATTAACCAGCAGGCAAAGTAAGCACCCGCAGAAGGTTCTGCCCACAACAGAAGAACAATTGTTGAAGGTGAAAGTAGGCCGTCCCAGTTAGTGCTAGAATACAGATGCAGAGATTTTAGTGCAACAGCTCTGAACATGTTGTCATTAGTTCAGTCAGCATCAAGGCTGGTTGTGATCTTCGGGAATGTTGATGGTACAATTTTAGCTCATAGGATGCTTATCTCTGAGTCCTGTTTGAAAAATTATCTGAGAAGTATTTGACTTTCAGAGACTTCCAGCTGTTACTAGCATCATAGAATCAACACAAGTGATTGTCTCTCAGCACTGACACTGATGGCTGAAGTGTTCATGCACACACTGACAATGGGTGTGTGTACGTGTGTGTTGGCATGTGCGCACGTACATTTGTGAAGACTTCCCTTGCCAGCTACTTCCTTCTCGTCACAGAACCATAAAAATCCTTTTAGCAACCAACAAGAAGATCTCACAGAGCAACGCACACAGACAACACCTAGCAACAAACAATGCTCAGCACCAATTGGTCGATTTTACTATTACTACTACTAAGTACATGCAGAGTGCAATGATGTCCAACTGTCAATAACAACAAAAGATTATAAAAGACATCATCGTGTGACTACCTTTCAATGACAGGTAGTCAGCCTATTTCCAAGCCCTAACTGTTCACTCTCTCTCTCTCCTCCTCCACACTATCTCATGTCCTCTCTGAATGGCCTGTGCCCGCTCACTAGACTCATCCTCATCCCTTCTCTTCCAGATTACTTCTGGCTCCTTGCCATTCACCACACTTTTTATTCCCTTTTCTCTGTCTGCTCGCTTCTCTTGGAAGTCCTCTCTTTTTCTCCACACAATGTAGTCAGCCAGCCTCTGCCGCTCCAGCTCCTCAGCCTTCTCCCTGGCCACTACTTCCTCTCTCCTCTTCCAGATAATCTCTCTCTCCCCCTCTCCCCCTCCCTCGTCTGCTCGCCCGTTCTCCAGGCTTTCTGTTTAACAGTCCCTCTGCCCAGTAAAATAAGTGCTTGAAATGTGTTGTGATATTATTTTGGATGACTAGAGGCTGCACATGGTATCAACTGCACACACTATGGTAGTAAGAAGATGAAAAATGCAGGTTAAGACTTGGTCTCCCTTTATGGCTGAACAATTGAGGCTGTTGTGGTTCAAGTGGGTTCTCAAAAATTGGCGATGTTGGTCAAAGCACCATTAGAAACGTAAATCGGTCTGTATGGACACTGCACCAGCACGTGGTGATGTAACTCTACAGAATGTAGGTCATTGAATGACGACTACTGGCGGGTTTGTGATGATGGTTATGAGACCTGATTAGTCCGGTTTGAACTAATAACTCATGTTCCCTGAACATCAGTAGACATACTTCAAACGGAATGCTTTATGACCACATATACTGAAGTTTAAAAGAGCACTAGTGCAGCGTCTGTTGAATACAAATATTTCGTGATATTTCTGCCTGTTTACACCGAGCTTAAGATCCCTCTAGTCATTTACCTGAGAGAATAGTGTTAACCCACCTCACCATATGATCAAAGCAAAGATTTTCGGTTTGAAAACTGATCAGTCTTAAGCTCATTCATCAACTACTAACAACAAGACAAAAACACAAACTTTCTGCATAGTCCAACCGGTAAGGCAAACAGTCTGTTTACAATAACAGTCTCCTGTGAAATCTTCAACGGTCACACAGAAAAGCAAGTCTTATATTCACACTCTGACCTTTGTCCCGACAAAGCACACGCCGTGTACTTATTTGGTTTGAGAAACACCAAACGAGTCAGAGAGCTGTGTGGAGGAGCAGAACACAGCCTGTAGTGGGAGTAAAATGTATCATGAAGATACAGTCGCCTACACCAATCTAGCACCACAGACACAAGTCTAGCGTTCAAGCTAGTGGTCCATCTGCTGTTGGCTGGCGAGCACCATAAAGCTTCCAGTCACAAAGCCAGCCAGAAGCCTGAAGATTCTCAAAACTGTACAGAAATATGGCTGAATAGTCACAAAGGACACATTTGGATAAGAGTATGCATTCAAGAGGAGACTGTACACAATCCTAAATCCTAACACATACAAATTTATAAATGCAGAAAATGTATTTCTAAAAAGGCAAAAGTTTAAAACATGCATCGATAAATCCAGGGTGTTTTGGAAAAGGAATAAGAGCCCCGGTGTTAGTGCCTGAAACACAGTGTAGGTCCGGTGTAGCAGATGCAAGGACCTGAGAGGTCAGTTTGCTTCCACACAGATGAAGACACTGCTAATGAACCTAATGATTAGTGATTAGTGCATCAATTAAGTGATATTTACAAGGGACTCAGGCATACGACCTGATGAGTCCCGACTGACCACCATCCTGATGTTAACATCGGTTTGATTGATGAAAATGCTAGTTTCGGGAAATGGCAGGGGATTAGGTGACCTGAAACAACCCTGAATCTTGGAGGCTGCTGCTCTCCGTAAGGACACAGACGACAGTTAAAAGAGAAAAGATCAGGGCAAAAGAACAAACAAGCAAGAGTTCAAAATACAGGAATAATATATACAATTAGTTCATAAAAAAAGCACCTTTTGGAAAAGACCAAAATAAATCGTTTTTCTGCTGTTGCAGCATGTTACCATGACAACAGACATAAAAATGTGTGTCGGCAGAAGATATATACACAAGTCCAACTGCAAGAGTATTCATTCAGAGATATAATGGATGAGTTAAAGAGGCAGCCAGTATATGCTGCATCAAAGACTCCACATTAAACCTCAATGAGAGGAACAACTCCTGGCTCCAACAACAATCAATAACAAGCAGGAAGTGAGCAAAGTTTGACCGGCATCACAGCAGAGAAAGCCCAATCAATGAAGATATCCCAACAGCGACCGCATGCATCCAACTCAACCACTGCATGTTTGGTAACAGACACAATGTCAAACCAGCTACTGATGACAACAGTAAGATTTAGAAAATCTTGCATAAATCAACCTGAATTCATTACAGCCAAATACAACAGTGCATAACTTCAAAGGTTAGGAGAATAAAGAAATAAAAAGATGTGACTAAAAAGTCTATTTTACAAAAATTTAAACTTTTTTGGCTATTCAGTATGAAAATCAAAATTGTACATTAAGATTTTTGCCTGGTCCAGCTCAGTAAGAGTCTATTTTGGTTGCCGGTTGTACTCCGTGGTGAGGAAACAGCTGTGAAGTGACATGAGCAGCACATGTATGTTTCAGAAGGCAGCCAGGGCAGTGCGGTCGCCCGTCCTCTGCTTCCCCTCTCCTCCTCCTCCTCCTCCTCCTCCTCCTGCTGAAACGCGCTCCTTCCGCTCGATTAATTCAGTAAGTCGGAGCCGGCTTCTGTCTCCATCAATGCTCCAGTCGCTCGCCTCCTCCTCTGGCTTCTTCCTCAGCAGATGGTGGAATGGCAAAGCTCCCAAAGCGGACAATGGCACTCCTTCATTGTGCTCCTCCTAACCCTCATGGCTCTCTCTCCACCTCTTGTTTGTTGAAGGGAAGAGCGCGCTGTCTGTCCTCCCCCTCCTCTTCCTCCCTGTCTGGGTGATGCTGCCTCCCATGCTTTCACTCTCTCTCTCTCTCTCTCTCTCTCCCCCTCCCTCTCTCTTGCTCTCTCTCCCCCTCTTGCTCTCTCTCTCGCTCTCTGTGCTCCTTCCTGTTTGCCCCCTCCCACTCCAATGCAGCCATGTTCATACTTTACATGTGCACGCTAGCATCAATAGACTGCACTTATTACACTGTCTGTAAAGAACGGAATAAAATATATATGAGGAGGCACCGAGTTGAGGTTTGCAGACTCTTTCTCTGGCGCCTGCGTTAGTTGAGCTGTGTAATTAATTGTAAATATAAATCAGGATATCAATTTTATGCTCCATTCAATTACAAGATTGGTGCAAGCGAAAATTAAATGGATAACCTTTAGTTCCTACTCTACAGCAGCTTGTACGTGTCACAAAACAAACTTACCCTATTCTGATCAAAGCTGACTGTATGGAAGTCATTTTATGTGAATTTTACAGTTTCAATTAAGTTTGCTATAATCAAGCAGCTCTAAAGTTTAGTATTGTGAAAAACCAAAGGCAGAAGATGTCCCTGTGGAATCATAAATGTGTAGATTACATTAAAAGGGAAGCACATATTCCCACCGCTCCTGCTGTGAATCTCAAACCAAAGCATTCGTTAAGAAAACAGTGACAGTGATAAGTGACCATGGCAGAAGTCCAGTAGATTACTTTACAGACACTAGAATTAAAGCAGTGCTGACTAAAGTTGTATAGTGCAGTAAAGAAACCAAGGATGACAACAGTCCTCAAATGACACCCCAAGCGTATGAGCGCCTGCAGTACCCTGTCTGGCCACTGTCTCGCGCCTGCGGACACACACACACACACACACAGGATCCAAAACGCTGCAGAGTCGGGGTGTCATTTGAGGTAAAACTCACACAAGCCGTGAATGGAAGTGAATGGGAAAAGGTGATGCGAGTCCACGGGCCCCTCCACCAGCACTAGACTACTCCAAGCTAAAGGAACACGTAACACAGGTGGCTCAAGGTGGCTGAGTGGAGCTAAAAACAGTTTTGTGGAAGTATTTGGGAGTCTGCGAGAGTCTGAGGCAAAAAAGGAGAAACTTGGGCTTCTGCGTTTCTTTTGAAAATGCAGTCTTGCAGAAGTTGAGCTTTGCTGATTTTTGACGCTGCGTTTTGAGTAACACCATACTACTCATTTTTACAATCCTTCATATTGATGGGTTTCTTATGTAGGCTTCACTGGAATAATAGTATTACGTGCAATTGTCTCTCATGGCTTGTAAAAATTATGAATGTTTGGAATAGTGATACGAGCTTGGACCAATTAACACAGTAAATGTATCTCCAACTGCAATCAGTAGAATAAAATAATTGGCATAAAGAAGTTCGTAGATACTTCCATTTAGAATATTGATATGAATTCCCTTTTAAACCAATTGAAGGCAATTTTAAAAGGTCCACCGAGTAACCTTTTGGATAGAGGAACTGCTATAGAGACATGGTGTGTTTGGAATCGCCCACAGTGCGGCATAAAACAGAACAATAAATCATTTGTATCAAGTCAAATCAGTTGAAAAAGTAAGTCCAGAATGCAAATTATACTGAGAAAATATAGACCCAGAATGAAATACAATATGGACATCAATAATGCCATGATATAGAACAATTTCAGAAAAACTTGGATGTGTGGGGCAGATTACATTGACTTTCTGCAGTAGACCGGACAAGTCCTTAAATGACACCTCCTTGTCTTTCATCTCTACTGCAGTACTTTGTCTGGCCACTGCATTTAATCAAACCGAAACTCCTGAGGTGACATGCAAATAGATCATTTTAATGCCAAATGGGCATATACATGAGCCATGAAACTAGGGCATCCTGGTATATTAGGCAAACACTTCAGCATGTTATGTTTTAGAATTCAATATAATGTCTAAAAACTATGTATAATATAGTAATAATAATATAGTAGATGACAAAAACACCCCCATGGAGGGTTTACAACTCAAAATAGGGAATTCATGGGTCTTTCTCGCAAATAACGCAAATGATTTCCTGATGGTTCAGAGATTTCAACCACACTGTACAGAACTGCGGCCAACCTGTCACCACCGTGCCACTGTTCATCTGTAACATTGTCTTACCATATAGTCCATTGGGTGTCTGTGAGCCTGTTACCCTAAAAACACCAAGACGCACAGGCATCAGCACAGGCAAAAGCACAAGACATGGACTCAAACCAAACTCCGACTCCGCCCAGGATGCTCTGCTCCCCGTAATCAGCTCTGGGGATAGTCATGGGATCTTGTTGATAAATACAACCCAGTGGATCAGGCATGCACAGCTATGCAAGCAACATTAATTAGCACGACAAGCTGAACAGAGCTGAGAGAAAGAAGAAAAAATGTTGTATGGTTACATTGAGTGTGACTAGGAGAAGTCTGTGCATGTTCAAACACACTGTGGAATGACAAGAACTGACTCAAAACGCAGCATGTAAGGGATGTTGGCGTCTTGACTTGCCCGCTGCTATTCATTGCGTCTTTGTAGCTTTGGCTGGTCAGATTTTATAACTGTATTCAACTCTGGATTGTAACTTTTTTGCATATTTCATGGTTTTATATATAGTGTGGACAGAATACAATCAAAGTGAGGGTGCAAGGATGGAGAATGCCATTTGCAAAAACTATATGGTAGAATAAAGCCCTATTTTCTGTGTTGGTAGACATCACCTAAACACATGTGAGCTAGCTATTTATGGTTGTGCCTATTCTATACGCCGCCCCCACTAACCACACTCCTACAGACTTCTCTTCCGGCTTCAGTTTGTCTACCCCCACCTGTATAAAGACACCATGCCAGACTTACACAAAATCAAGGTGTTGTATGACCCAATGTGGTAAGATTTAATAATATGACCAAATGCAGGCGTTAGTAATAATAATAATAATACATCTGTTTTATATAGCACTTTTTTGGACACTCAAAGACGCTTCACATGTCATTATTAATTCATTCCACACATGGTGGTGATAAACTACTACTGTAGCCACAGCTGCCCTGGGGCACACTGAGGGAAGGCAACCACTATGTGCCATCGGCCCCTCCGACCACCACCAACCATTCACACAAACACTAGACTCATTCTAGGCAATGCGGGTGAAGGACACAACGGTAGTTTGGCACTTTACAGCCACAGCCACCCCACTGTGACACCTGGTTTTCCTAGAGGTTAAGTGTCTTGCCAAGGACTCAACAACAGCAGACATCAGTGGGAGTCGGTGGAGAAAGTCTTGAGGTGGGCGGAACCCACGACCTTCAGGCTCAAAGGCCAATGCTCCACCAACTGCGCCACTGTCGCGCTTTGTGTTCAATTAATGGATAATATCGTATATAATAGTTCTTCGGATATATATAATATTTTGTACCAGGAGATGTATCAAAATAAGTCCAAAGTGGCAAATGACGGGAATATTTATTAGGGACGCAATCATAAGCGCAATCTTAAGCAACGTCTGGTGAGTTCTGTTATACTCCGTGCCGGTATACTCCTTGCTGTGCCGGCTCTCTCTGCCGTAGACTGTAAACCACACCGTAGTCACGCCAATCTCCGTAGTTGAAACTAATGTCCCACCACTTTCCGCCCCGCCCCCACTCCTCTCTGCACTATTCACATAAACATACCAGGAAGCTAGGAATGTGTGCTAGCTCTGGACAGCTGATCAACCACTGAACAGGGGTGTGCATTGCCTTGTACGTGGCAAAAGATATATGGATAAATATGTTTTTGACATGTGTTAAGCAGTGTCCAAACTGACAGAAAAGACTGCAAAACACTCACCAACCAGATCCACCCCAACACCCATCTTATACATGTGTATAATCTTTCAATGGTAGTTATAGAAAAACATAGGAACAAGCCTCAACCTCACCAAGACATTTAGGAAGGTTATTTTTGTTAATAGCGCCCACCCCTGGTAAACCCATGCCTTATTATCAACAAAGAACAAGACTATTTCAAGATTTAATTTAAGTTGATGGACTTTAGGGATGCACTGATCTAGTTTCTCATGTCTGTTAACAATCTCAATACAATGATTTTGAATATCTGTGAAGGGACTGACAAAAGAAATGTAAATCATAGCTAACGGATTATATAATGGGTCTAATTATGTTATTTAACAGATATTTCTTCCTAAAAGTAACTATGGAACTGCGTTGTTTGAATACAACCCAAAGGCATTCTGGAAAATTGATAGGCCCAATCAGGATGTCAGTAAAACATGTTTTTTTTGTTGCTAGTTGAACATCTCACTTGACAACCTGCTGTAATTAGATTACTGACTACTACTAAGTCATTCAGTCATTCAATATCTATACATATCTACATACTTTGTATGTTGACATCAGTCTGCCCAGGGACTGCAGGTGGAAATTAGCACAAGTGCTACAACCTGGTACAATGCATCTCTCCTTTCTGAGGTTAATGTATATTGTACACTGTCCCTGTTCAAAAAAATAAATAAATGAAATTAAATGAAACATCACAGCATTTTAACAAACTTTGCTAACCGACTGAATACAGACTTGAGTTTTGAGGTTTTGTCTCTGTTCAGAACCTTTGTTGTTGTCCCTAAATGACCCCATTTTGTTGTTGTTTCACTGCTTCAGTTCTATGTCTGACCACTGTGTCTGATCAAGACAAAACCCAGTACTACAGTTGGGGTCATTTAAGGTAAAATGAACTGAAGCTGGATACAAAAAAATGAGAAAAGTTTCAACACTGTACACACAAAAAAACACGACTTGTCCCTATGCAAGTAATACATCTGTAGAAACAGGATATTCGAACAACTACATACAGACTTAAATCTTATATGCATGTTTGTAAGATTATAAGTAAAGATAAACTTTATTGATCTCACAATGG